AACTGTCGACCTTTCCTCTTCTTGCACAAGCTGCTTCTTACGGGAACGCTTTGCTTTCTTTTTCTCTTTGATGGCCTTTTGGTCTGACGAAGCAGAACCACCGTCTTGTACTTCCTTTGCCAAAGCCTCAATGCTATCTTCAAAAGCATCAGATTTTGGATTATGTAAAACCAACCTATCGAGTACTGGATTGTCATCTGAGTCCTCCGAGCAGGGACTCGGGATATCCATAGCCTCAATTGCTTCATGATGGGCAGAGACTAACGCCTTAAAATCAGTTCCGGCTTGTAGAAGTTCATCATATTTGCCTGACTGAATAATCCTGCCTTCTTTGAGAACCTTCAAACAAGTAAACAATGCTTCAGAGCTTAATTATAAAGGATTAAAGTCTAAATTCCCTTAACAGTTACCTTTGGGCAACAATAGAGACAAGTTCATCGTGCTGGTAAGTTAACACCTAAAAGAGATTTTTTAGAGTTACAAACAGGCCCACAATAGCCTAAATCCTTGCAGACAAGAAAACTAAGAACAAAATTCTTACCATGATTAGGTCAGCACAAGGAAGAAATTCGACTTGATGTGTCACAAAAACGACAGTCTTCTCGGCCAATGCAGATAATATATATTCCTATAGATGTCAAACTGTTGTTAAGCCATGTTCAAACAGGTATCACAATGAAATGAATCTTCAATGACGCATAGAATTTGTTACCCTGAAAAGCTCGGAGCTAGTGTGGGCATCAAGAGCACTAAACGGATCATCAAGCAAATAAATGTCGGCATCTTGATAAAGTGCCCTCGCAAGTTGTACTCTTTGTTTCTGACCACCACTGAGATTTATACCTCTATCACCAATTATGGTCTGGTCCCCATGAGAGAAAAGCTCCAAATCCTTTTTTAAGGAACATGCTTGTATCACATTCTTGTACTTTGCTTTATCCATTGGACTGCCAAACAGAATGTTTTCTTCAATGTTTCCGGACTGAATCCAAGCCGACTGAGACACATAAGCAGTAGTACCACATATTCTAACCTATATAATGAAATCAGCAAAAAGGATCAATAATTTTTAAGTGCATACGTACATGAATCCTACAAAAAATAATGGAAAATGTGGCAAAAGTTCCACAGATCAACTTACTTCACCGGAAATTTTAGGGATCTCCCCAAGGATGCAAGAGAGAAAACTTGACTTTCCCGAACCAACCATACCGCAAACAGCCACACGCATACCCTTCTCCACTTTCATCTGAACCCGAGATAGTGTCGGCCTTGGAGAAAAAGGGTCCCAACAGAAATCACCATCCTTGATCTCTATGGCTATGTTTGAAAGCCCACGGGGAATAGCAATCGTTGCATCTTCTTGAAGCTCTTCGTCCTGTAAGAACCCAGAAAGCCTATCAAGAGAAACCTTTGTTTGGGCCATCATTGAAACCAAATCTGGAAAGTTCCTAAGTGGTTCCTGAAGAATTCTGAATGTGGCCAAAGCAGAAAGAACGCCCCCGGCAGTGAGTTGGGTTCCTAGGAATATCGAAGTAGCAAATGTAACAGTGGCTACAAATATTGGCGAGCTCCAGAAGATGAAGGTGATAAAAGCTTGTGAATATAATGCCTTGCGAAGCCACCTGAACTCCTCTCCCCTCATCTCCTCCAACTTCACTCGATACCTGTCCTCCCAAGCCTGTAGTTTCAGAATTCTCATGTTCCTAAGACACTCTGATGTTTTTCTCATTCTATCATCCTTGGCAGCCATCAATTTATCTTGATAGTCTTCTTGCACCTTGGCCAATGGAATTGTGACAACAATTGAGATAATGGTGGCAACCAATGTGGCAACAGACGCTATGCCCACGCTTTTATACAAAATTGCAAGAGCAAGAATTATTTGCATGGGAAGCATCCAAATATCATGAAGATACCATGAATAATCCCCGATTCTCTGGACATCGACTGCCATGTAGTTCACAATCTCACCACTTGTGTGACTTTGCTTGGCCACGCTTGAAAGTTTGAGGCCTTTTCGGTACACCATTGCTGTTAGGGCTGATCTAACATGCATGCCCAAGATATCAACCCCAAGATACCATTGACGGGTGGTAATGGTCTCTGCAAGTTTGGATGCAAAGAATATCCCCGCAAGAACGTATCCTTCATGAGGAAAGATCTTCTTACCTCCTAGAAAATCAACAAAGTAGCCGACCATGTAGGGTCCCACGTAGGAAACGAGAGTATTCAGGCCAGCAAAGACAGCATTCCATGCTGCTTCTTTCCAAAACGATTTCAGAATCGCCCAGGCCAAAGAAGGAGACTTTGAAGAATTTTCGGCCTTGGACTTCTCCCAGTTCGAATTCAACACCTTGTAACTTGACTTGGCTCTATCTTTCGGGGCAAGAAGGGGTATATCCTTCAGCTCAAGCGGTCTTTTTGAACCAGCCGAGAGAAGTGGATTCAACCAAGAAAGGGTGACCAAGCTAAACAGCCCAGCACCACTGTACGGAGTGACTTTAAGACAAGATGCCTCTTCTTCAAGAAGCAAAGGCTCCTGAAGATCAGAGCTTCGGCGAACTTCTATACCAGAAATGCCTCTCAAAGCGACGAAGCATAGAAAACAAAGAGCTGGCGTGACAGCTAAATTGGCCACAACATGGGAAGACCAGTGATTCCAACCTTGTATAACGAACCCTCTTCCATCTTCATACAAAGTACAGAGACAGATTGCAAATGACATGAACCACCATATCCTCAAGAAGAAGGGTAACTTCTCAGTTAGCTTATATTTGCAATGAAGAACCAAGAAGCTAAGCACAAACCAAGCTAAACCCTGAGAAGCTGGCAAGCAAAGGACCGAAAAGTCTGTGGCTTTGCCATTCGCTGCCGCTCTAATAACTCCAACCCCATCAAAACCCAGAACCAGAACTTGCACAGCTAACACGTAGAAGCAACAAAGCACGGACAGTTTAAATCCGATCCCGACACTAACATCGTGGATCTCTCCGTCCACGCTGACATTACGTCTGATGGGGCTAGAAACTGGATCATCCTTACGGAATCTGTCTCCGCCTCTTCTCACACAGATGAAGATCTGCTTGGCGGAGATGACAAACAGAAGCACTACAAAAAGCGTGAGATTGATGCAAACGGAACAGAGTTCGAGTACCGGCAATTGCTGAGAAGTTCGCAGAAGAGCAGGATTCAGATATTCAGAGAGTGAGGAAGGAATCAGTATTTCATAAAGACCCATGATCGAACGATTTCGGAGGCGTTTGTGTTTGAGATCACTCGACGGATTCTTCGAGCTGAAATGAGCATCTCACACTACCACCGGTAGCTGCAAGAAACAGAAACAAGGAGGAAAAACAAAGAATTTTCAGGCGGGTTTATCAAGACATGGACTCTTCGGACACATTGCACATCAGAACAAACAAAACTTCTTTCAAAACCCAACACGTAGAAGAGATCGCAGAGAAAACCGACAAAACCCAGAGGAAAAAAGAAGAAACCCATGGCGGTCCTCACCTGCTTTATTTCTCTGCCGATCAAAAACAAACAGAACCCGGAAGCGAGAAACAAACAGCCGAAATCGGCGTCACTTACAAAGACGATCTTCGATTATCGCGGAAAACCCAAGGAAAATCAAATAGAAAATCCGTGAGAAAGAGGAACGAAGAAGAATAAAATCTCTCTCTCTCTCCCTCTTGACTTTGGAAAAATGCAAAATTTTCTGCCGATTGTTAACAAATTCGTTTCCCCTTTCCTGTGTATGGTGCCTTAAAGTCGTAAGCTTTTTTGGAGCTTTTCGAGGGCTTATGGCTGTCGATGCAAATGTGTATGCGCGTAAAAGGGAAAAAGCTGTGGTTTGGTGGTCGCTCGTACTGCTTTTCCAAAGGCGCTTCCTTTTCTCACGTACCTAAAAATTAATTCGCATGTGGATTTTGTAATTTAATTTTTATTTAAAAAAAAGTTATGTATTCGTATATAAATAATGAGAACATACACGATATGCTTCAATACCACTACTTTTCAATTTATGCAGTTTTCAATATTATAAGCTTTTATATATAATTCGCTTTATATTGTTTGTTGATAATAAACGGGCGATATATACGAGGGAGTTTTCTGTAAAGCTGGATTTATAATTAATATTTTTCTAATTCTAAATCAAATCATTATAATACAAACAAATCGTAGCAACTAGAGATACCTTTGCAACATATAATTAATTCACCATTTATTATAATACCTCTTGAATATTCCACAGCATCTTTAATTTATAAAAATTTCTTGAAGATACAAATTGGTTTTGTTTTTGTTTTTGTTTTTTTAATATCTCGAGGACGATTTACACGAAAGGTTACTTTATTTTTATATTTGTTATGATTTATTTCAGATAATTTGATTTTAATTAATTGATATGATCGTTATAATATAATTAAATTCAAACCAAATTTATTAGGAAAAAATCAGCATTCTATAAAACTTGCCACGTCAAGCTTTATGACATGAATCTACCAAATTTAATAGAGATATGTAACCGAGGAATCTTACATGATGCATGGAACATTATTATCACATGGAGGTAGATATAATATTGCATAGTGTATAATAATAAATACCCTCACACTAAAATTAATTTTATTATATACATATATATTAATATTATTGCCCCTATTCTATTTTTTCTGTATTTACCACTATATATATATGTGAAGCTCCCTGATTCTTTTTTTCACAAATAGGGTTTTAAAAAGTTTTCTACGTCGTTATATATTAACAATAGAAAAATATAAAATAACTTTAAAACAGGTTATGTAATTTTTGAAGCAAACTAAAACTACAAATTAAATATAATAAATATAAAAAATAACTAAAATCGTAAAAGTAGTTTATTTTTAAAATATTTGCAATGTGCATCTCTCTTTTTCGAGCTGACCGAAATTTATGACATTCTGCATACAACATAAAATATTCTCTTGATAAATGGGGAAGGTGTTTTGTAATGTGCATAGAGCATTAATTGGTTTATAATTACAAAATGTTTGATTAGGCCACATTCAATGTGCTCATTACGTACGCATGCCATGCCAAGGTAATCTTACGTGGCGTTATCAGTTGTATATTATTTATTTAATGCATGATTGACTAATTAATTATTATTATTATTATACATTTATTATACTCTTAATGGGTATTCTTGTCATTTGTGATTTGTCGGTACTGCGTTGGTTTTTTGTTCACATGACAGGTCACTCCCCACTTTGTTGGTTCATCGATAATACCGTAAAAAAGTGATTTTTTTATCAGAAAATTCGAAATTCGGCATATTGTTTCCTAACGAATTCAAGATTAATATTTAGTTATATTTCCGATCAACTTTCTGATTATAAAAAAAAAATCGAAATGACACAATGGTCGGTCAATTTGATTTATTACTTGCAAAAGAAATTGACATGTTCGTAGGTGGTGGGGCTTTATTTATGTCGTATTTATTTTGGTCCTACAGAAGTTTTTGTTGGAATATATTATTAATTTATTTTTATAAAAGGTATTGTATTCAATCCGATTTCCTAACAACGTATTCTTTCCCAACATTACATTATTCACACTAGGAATTAACATTTTGAGTTTTAATTCCCTTTAGATTATAGTATTTCTATATTTGACTTTTTAAAAATGTTCAGTATATATATATATATATAAAATTATCGTTTTAGATTTTGATTGTATTTTATTTCTGCTTATATTCGCTTTAAGTTTAGTTTCATTATAAAAAACATTATATATGTATATATATTTTTTCAATTAAATTTTGTATATTTTAATCACGTATCAATATTTGTTTATATTTTATTCGAATCCAAGACAAACAAAAAAGTAATCAGACTATATATTTTTCCACATGTAATTTTGCATAATGAGGTTATTAGTTTCACCCCTCATTGGATATCGATTTTGCCGTGGGATTCAATGAAACTACCGCAGGTTGACACCATATTCTGTTCTCACGTTACACTAAATATATAAATACGCATTTTATTAAAAAGTATATATATATATATATATATATATTAATTTTATACTTTGATATGTGGCCCTCGGGTTGTATAAATCGTAACCAACTTGCATAAAAATAATACAACGAGACTATGACAAGACGTCGGGTCCCCGTAACCTAATTAAACTCGAATATAATGTATATTATATACTATGATTATGATTATGCGTTGAAATCGAATGAATGGTTTTGGACCTTCGTGGGAGTCGTTTTCTGACAGATAAGACGGGCCATAAATGGGCCCACGTGGTCAGATTCCATGGGCTACTAGAATATTCTTTTCGCCAACCTCCACGTCACTACCTCTCATGGGTCAAATTATACAATCATCACCATTGATTATAATGCAATTTAAGAAATATGGATTTTGACCGTAATAATTAATTTCACATAATCGTGTGTTTATGTGTTAGTCTCCGTCTGTTTTAAATAATATATTTTTTTTATAATTTATCATAAACAATCCATATTTTAGACGGCATAAAAAACCGGGTGGTGGAAGCACGGTTTACTAACTGAACCCGAAATTGGACCGTTCCGGTTTGCATCGTACCGAATCGAATAGGTTCTTCGGTAACATTCTGATTCATCCAGAAGGATCTATAGGAAATTCTCACAAACAGAGCTCGAGGAGGGGAGACGGAGCTTATGCTGCTGCAGTTTTAGGGTCATAGTGTTGTGCTCTATCTTGTGGGAATCAATGGCCTTATGGATGGAAGCAGGGTCGGAACCGACGACGGAGAGTGAAAAGGCTGATCTTGACGCAATTTCAGCTCTCAAAGAATCTGCCGCCCTCGAATTCAAAGTACAAAGCTCTCTCCCTCTCTCCATCTCTCTTTCTCTTTTCGCCGTAATTCGATGTGTAATCTCGATGAATATGGTGTTAATGGCGGTTTTGGGTCCTTAGGTCATTAATTCTGGAGGTGTTGTTGTCGTCTCCGTGTTTCGAGATTTCTGAATGTCGAATTTGATGCTGAAACCATTGTTTGCGTGAGTTTTGAAGCAATTACCTTGTACTTGAATTTCTAAATTCGTCAAGTTCAGGACTTTGGGTTACCTTATCGAAGGAAGTCCACGCAATCGGACAATTAGATACGATGTTCATCTGGGTCTTGAGCATTCTCTGATGCTAAGAATATTTCCTTGCGTTAATTATGCTGATAGTCTCTGTTCTATGATATCGCTTCGTTCCTGTTTATAAATTCTGCGGGGCTGATTCTGTTCCTATGTTAATATGTATTCGTCAGTCTTGTTGATGAATTCACTAGCTGTGGTGCAGGAAAAGGGTAATGAATGCGTGAGGAAGGGGAAAAAGCATTACTCTGATGCCGCTGATTTCTACACGAAAGCAATCAATCAGAATGTTTTAAGTGATTCAGAGACCTCAATCTTGTTCTCGAATCGAGCTCATGTCAATCTACTGTTAGGAAACTATCGACGTGCCCTCACAGATGCTGAAGAAGCAATCAGGCTCTCCTCAACAAATGTTAAGGTATCTATCTACATGGCTCTTGATTTTATCATAAGTTATCTGTCTTTGTCTCTTGTTATAGCCTCGAGATTATCGTTTCCTGTTTTTTGGGTTATTGATTCGAAGGCATTCTATCGAGCTGCAAAGGCATCAATGTCATTGAATTTGCTAAACGAAGCAAAAACTTACTGCGATAAAGGAATTGGGCAAGATCCAGGCAACGAGGGACTGAAGAAGCTTTTAAGGCAGGTGAATTCAAAGAAACAGGATCAAGAACAACATGAGGCTGAAGTCTCACGGGCTGTGGCAGATGCCAAGGTTTGGACACTGGATCTAATCCAATTAAAGGAATTCTTCTGTGTTGGGGAGATCTGTGGTAAAAAAAAATTGAAATATAGATACATATAGATTCATAACTGCAGTAATCCCTAAAACCATCATAATCCTTGCAGATGACATGACTGTCTGTAGAATTAACTTCCAAGAAATCTTTTATGTGGCTATGGAAAGATCTGAACTTTTCTAAATTTATGATGTCTTTTCTCTTGTATTCTGTCTATAATACTGTACACTGAGCTTCTATATTTACAAGACAACCAAGGCTTTAATACATGTGAAACTACTGAGTTCGATTACCTCTTTTTTGCAGACTTGTCTCTCAGCAATAGAGAGCAGAGGCGTGAAGATCGGTAAGGCAATGTTCCGAGAACTCACAGGTTTGAGAAAACCAGTGTTAGATAAAAACAACATTCTCCATTGGCCTGTCCTGCTTCTGTATGCCGAAGTCATGACCAGCGACTTCATCGAGGATTTCTGTGAAACAGACATGCTCTCAACACATCTCGATCTCATATCCTTTTCAATCTTCTTTCTTGTATGTGTGTGTATGACAACTGTGCTTTAACACAATTCTGAGTTGACCCGCTTCGAGTTACATTTGTGCCATGATATTATCTTGTTGGTCCTTAGCATTCTTACATGTTCTCAGAGGATTGCCCGCCACTGCCATGGGATAAAGATAACAATTACACACGTGATGCGATTGAGCTGTACTATGAGGTAATTGACCCCTTCTAGTCCTAAGCTAATCTTCCTTTCTCATAGACTCGTCAAAATGTTTTCCTGGTCTATACCCCATAGCAGATCTTACCATTGGTGAAGTCTGCATTAGAGAATGTTTCACTTTTCCTTGCATATAAAACACCTATCAAAATAGGTATAGAAGAGAAGTTAACAGAGACACGTTTAAGATAGTTTGGACATGTACAACGTAGACCGATGGATGCACCGGTTAGAGAGTAAAGGAAGGGGGTGAAGAGTAAGGGAAGGAGTAGACCTAGGCTTACTTGGGAACGTATAATTAAGAACTATTTGGATTTGTTACAAATTCCGAAAGAGCTAACACAAAACCGAAATGAGTGGAAATAAAGAATCCATGCGGCCGACCCCAAATAAACTTGGGTCTAAGCTAAGGCGATGTTGATGTTGAATGTGTATTACGTGAAGCTCAAACCTTAGAATTTGTTGAAAACACACTCCTCATTAAATACTGAAAACTCTTACGTTATAATGAATTAGAAAAGTTACTAGTGATGATGCATATTCTAGCCTTCTCCTCTCACCCTCTATTACCGGAATCTCCAGGCAGGCTCTGGAGCTGCTTTGTCAAGGTGTAGAATTATTCGGTACCTTCTAGAAGGTACCAAAGGTTCTGAAGCTGAAAGTAGAGGCGATGATGACGGCAATGTAGCTCCTAAAAGTGCACCAAAAGGTTAGAGTTTCGACTTTTTATGGAAATTACCAAGGCAAGCTTTGGGGTAAAATCATTCAAGAGTGGCCTTTTTACGTTGGTGTCAGGGAAGGGAGAGAGGAGAATGGTTAGAGTGAAGGAGAGGAGAACGTTGTATGATGTGTTGAAAGAGCCTTCCTTCATCATCCCTGAGATTCCTGGTTTGATATATATTTTTTTTCTTTCTAATTAGTTTCACCATTTGCTATGATCATTGATGAATCAATTAAAAAAAAAAAAGCTTTTGAAATCATTTGACTGACAGATTCCCAATGATTCTTTGTTGCAGTGTTTTATGTTGTTTCGAAGCGGTCCAGTTTCTACCATGACTTCACCGCCGGAAAATGGACTATTCGGTAAAAGGGATGATGTACCACCACATACTTTAGCTGTCTTCTTGGATATTTCATCCACTCCCTTTTTTTTTTTTGGTGAATTACTAAATTCCAAAAATATTTTTTTGTACAATTAGTATTAATCCTTTCCTTTAAAAAAAAATCTTTTTAACTCGATGTTTTCTTTGAAAATGAAATGATGATGCAAACGAGTGGAGTTGGAGACACGTCATGCTTCGACAAAGGAGGAGGAAACCAATTTGGCAAGGTTCCCCGACACATTGTTCCATCATTATTTAGTTTCCCTAAACTCGAGTTTATATTTGCTTCGGACAATACACGCTCACACTCACTCCCGTGATTTTATACCGAATGCAAGTCTCTTCACAAATGGTCAAATCTCATAACTCTTAATAACATATAATGTCTATGATCCTTAAATCTTGGTATGCGCCAGAGAAACTAACTCCCTCCTATATATATATGACCAAGCCGTGTTACAAATTTACAGATGTAGGTTCGAATCTCCACTCAACTGGACTTCCTCGCTTTTGGGAGATGTTGTCGGATCTTTGACCCGATGAATCTTCGGACTATAAAAAAAAACTTACAGATACAGAAACTAACAACAAAACATTCCTTTTTTTTTTAACATTTCCTGCATCGTGAAGGAACAAAAGAACACGAAACCACACCAGAAGAAGAAGAAGCAATGAGCCAAGATAGAGGTCTCCTCTGGAATTGGGCGATTGCAGTTTTACTGGTTAGCACTCCAATGCCAACGTCTGCACCTGTGGTTTCACAGATTTTAATGACAAATCAGAATCACACCCTTATATTCATACAGTTGCTTTGTTTTAAATATGACCAAAAAAGGAAAATCCCTCCTGATTATGACTGACTGACTTGACCAAAAAAATGTTTCAGATCTTCAACAAGTTCGAAGATTTGTCTGCAATGCTACCTCAGCTAGATTTTCCTCAGGCAGGTTGTTTGGTTCGTATAGGTTGGAGGCAGAGCCGGTGTTATTATACCGGAAGATCCTGAGTTTCCCCTCCTGCGTTTTTCCATGTCGGGAAAATTAATGGATAAAAGGGTTTTATTTCGGGGGTGTTTATAGTTTGACATGAACAAGATTATGGATTATTTACCTTTGTTCCATAAACAAGACCTCCTCCAGGATCAGGATGAAAACATGCTACATTAACTTCGTCCTCGGCGCTCGGGAGTACTCTCACCAGTTCCATATCTGAAACTCTGTAAATCTGACAGGCAAGAGATTCAAAAAAACAATGAACAGCTGAATGGAATGTCATATTTAATGTAGATACTACAATTTGGAAATAAGGTCGACGACACTACAGACTTACTTCCAACACCGTGAAAAAATGTGATGTTGTTTCTCCATCACTGACAATGCTCTTCAAAAGAGAACCATGACGCCGGCCATACGCAAGCAATATGTGCTCCGAGGTAGGCGAGAACTGCACCGAGAAATCATGATTACAAAGTGTTCCGTCATGACAATAGAGAGCACAATGCGACAAGTTTTGTCAACCTTAACAAATGTTACTTTGACAAGCAAATACAATTATTTATCAAAAGGAACAAACTAGCCATCAGCAATGGCGACCTTGTCTTCCATACCTAGGGGAAGACACAAATGAAATTGCAACAGAAACTTATTTCTAACGGTCACAACATCCAATTATTTACCAAAAGGAACATACCTGGATAGATGTCAAGCAGTGTGCAGCTCTAATTGCTCGTGAGACAAGTACTGAACCAAACCTGAAGAGAAATAATTCATAGTCTATTGAATTCTCTGTTATCTGTCAGACCAAATCACAAATAGAACTAAAATAAGGAAATGTAGGAAGTAGAACTTACGTTTCCTTTTCAAGAGAATACACACGAAGTTCGTACATGACTTGGTGTGCCGTGACAGGGTGTCGAGTAGGGGAAGTGGCAAGCCCTGAATCTTGTTGGAACAGTATCAGCAATCCAGGATCTGTCTCAGTATGAGGAAGAACACATGCAACACAGGCAGCTAAATATCTCCCACATGGCGAAAAATGGGTTCCCATCTCACTGCAAAGACAGACAAAAAAAAAGCAGAAAAATCAACAATCTCAGAAAAAAAAGAAGAGAAATATGGTCTAGCATCAGATCAGACTTATCTATGGCATAAAAGAATGATATAAACGATTCTAAGCAGCAAATTTTTTCTTTAAAAGAAAAAGAGACTTTGCCTGCAAAGAACAGCATGAGATATTGTCAACCGGCATTTGTCAGCCTTCAATTGTGCGCATGGGTCTTTGATGTCATGTGACCAAACTCTGAGCTTCACAGTGCAAGGTAACTCTGCAGCAGCAGCTGCGGCAGCAGCAGCAATTGAAGTAGTAATGTCAGACTGAAGTCTGTCGATCAAAGGTTGAGTAGTGATCCCATGGTTCCCACCATGCTGTGTTCCACGAGAGGAAACACCATGCTGTGATCCTGAGAATTGCGTCTGTGAAATTCGGTCTCGAGAGCCACCTCTTCCAGAAATGCCATATAAATTAACACCACCAGGGATTTCTAAAGACGCTACTGCAGCCTCTAGACTGCCTGTTGATACATATGATGCTGAAGTACCCATATCAGGAGCCGAATGTCCATGACCGCTACTACCACTAAGAGGCGCCCTTGAATGGGCACCAGCATGGCTTCGAGCCATCGGCCATCCTTTCAGAAAAGGTAATTCCAATGCTCTGTCTCTAAACTGAAATAATTGCGGAAGCTGTCCAATCTCAAAGAGATGTGATTGATTTGAAGCTTGACCAGGAATTCCATTTCTTCCAACAAGTTGAATTTCATCCACATCCATGGCATCAACTGCAGTAGTAGATGTTCTAGTTTCTGCTCGGGCAGAGCCTGCTGAATCTTCTAAAACATGATATTGACCAGAAGGAACGGCTGGAGTAGCCAAGGGGGCAGACATCATTCTACCGCTGTTTTCTGCAGCACTTTGATTATTCTGCAGCCCCATTGGAGCACCACTTGAATCATCTATGGAATATGGAGGCACACACAAGTATGGTAACGGTACACCAGGCAGTTCAGCTGCCAAACTAGCACGATTGCCAGCCTGTGTATTGGTTACAAAAATAGCAGGGGGTGGATATCTCAAATAACCCAGAGATGTTGCCATTGTCATTGAAGTATCTGACGAATCGAGGTCATTCACCTGTCACACGTAGTTAGAAACGTAAGCTCACACAAAAGGTGAGACAACAGTTGACTGAATTCTTAACAGGTAGGCGCCCACCTCTGCAGTCAAGAGAAATGGAGCCCCACGTGGGTGGAAGTGTACAGCTCTCATAGAGCGCCTTGTCTTCAACACAATGCTCGGCGAGGAATCCTCACCTCTGTTATTGTAGCGCCACATGTGCAACTGGAACACATCATGAACAAAACTCTCTGAGATCTTTAAACCAAATATTTATGTTCTGGAGGGACGTGCCTCCTGCAATGGTAAGAGGTTCAAGAAAAAAAAGATAGATAGATAGTACACCTTATGTCCAGATGCAACAGCAAGCAATTCACCATCAGCGTGGAACGCAATAGAAGCAATAGGCCGATCTGTAAAAAATGGAGGATTAAAACAAATATGATGAAAAACAGAAAACAAAAAAAAAAGAAACAAAAGGATATTGAGATTTACAGAAATCATGAGATCTGATGCATTCTGCTGTTTTTGCATTCCATAAGAGCACCTCATGATCTAAGCTTCCACTAGCAAGTATTTCTGAATGGCGTGGGTGGAATCTGACCTGTAGAGTGCTCCAACAACATTAAATCTCATCGCAAGGCTAGCATGAAATGCACAGGTAATTATCTGATTTGTGAAAAGATACTAATCAACTCAAGTTGTTGTAAGTATTGCACACATAAAATGCCATGCCAATACAGAAAAAAACATAAGAATGTTGACGCCTGTAATCCACCCAACACAGACAATGACAAGCACTTGTTGAAAATACAACCTATTAATTGTGGCAATATGGGCACAGAATTAATAAACTAGGGCAAAAGGGGCTAGCAGTTTCAAACTCACCACCCAAGGGGTTCTCCGATGGCCACTCAAAACCTTTAGGCAGTTCCCAGTTTCACAGTCAATTATCTTTACAGTGTGGTCACCACTACAAGCAACAGAAATTGGGTGAACCTCAACGGGCATAACACATTGTTTAACCTCAACTAGATATGACACACAATACTCACTGTGTAGAAGCAAGAGTTCTTCCATCAGAACTAAAAGCTGCTGCAATTGTTGACCTTGGAGGAGGCACAAGAGGACAATATTTTGCAGATAAATGCTGCAACGACTCTACCTCAACCCTGCAAATAAAAGATATCAATTACACGGGAATACCAAAATCATGGCAAGACATTCTAGCTTCACAACAAAGAGACATGGACACATAGAGGAATGCAAAACTGAGGAAAGAACATTACCAAGAAACAAGCCCCCGTCCAGCATCTCTCACCAGTCCATTAGTGGTCCCACAGGAGGAATCAGCGTCCCGTCTATTTTCACCCCATCCTTTCCTTGCTACATACTTGGTCTTTGGTGAAATTTCCCGCTGAACTAGCAAGCTTAAAACGCTCCTACCACTAAACAGTTATACAAACCCAGGATTAGAGTAATACAACGAGATCAGCAACTTATAGATCTCATCTCATCATCCAGCTTCAGCTAAGCAAGGTGTAATTCAGGGTGCTTAGAGCTTTCTTGGTAGATCCAACTAAACAAATGTGAAGTCAAGACAGCAATATTCAGTAACTAAACATTTAAGATCAAAATCCAAGATATGCTACTCTTGCAATTACTTAAGCTAACCTAATTCCAGCTCAAATGCCCAAACTTGATGAACATGGAATGGAATGTACGGGTCCTCTTGAGAATAACTAGGCTGCAAAGCCAGTACCCAAAATCCAACACATCAAAACTTTGCATGGCCGTCATAAAATTAGGAACCATAAACTGGAAAAAAAAAACTACAGCATCAAATAATTCAATATTCAGAACCAAAAAAAATTCAGAATTTGTATGATCTCCTAAATGCGCTTTCTAATTACTTGATCTAACATGGGATGGCCTAAGCTGAAATAAAATCTTTTTATTTCCCACAATTTAGAAGATGCAAATCAAGAAAAGATTCAAAATCTATCCGTAATTTAAACTCCAGTCAATAGGCAAGACCCGACCTGTGGCGGTGTAAATCAGTCACTGGTTTCGGTGACGGTATCGGCGATCGGAGGGAAGGTTGATCGTGAGGACAGATGCGTCCCGTCATCTCGAAATCCGATATTCATGATAACACATAAGCCGACGACGGCGAAGTCATAGATGCGACTGACGACGAGGAGGATGAGAAGAATAAGAAAAAGAAGAATAAGAAAACCCTAATCATGCAATTTGTTAGGGAGAAACAAGGCCAAATCGCCGATCGAAATCTGCCGGAGATTTCTCACCGGCGGTTTTGTTCTTGAAGATGATTGGGTAATCGTCCGGGACTTTCTCGATGAAAGCGACGAAGAAACCTAAAAAGGAAAATAGCCGATTGCGGAATGTTAAAAGAAGTTTTTTTTCCTCTGTTGCAGTGCCCAATTTTATTGATTTTCTATTTATTAATACGTCACTTATTTTCTATTATTTTCAAAATAATGCCCCATTGTTGTTTTGAGTACATGTGAACCCAAATTTTTTCTTTGATATATGACCCTTGTATTTGACAGAGAAAATAAATAATAAATTATTAAGAACGTTATTTTTATGTTTAATCTGGAAATCAGTTTATCATTTTATAGATCAGAGAAATTTTTAATATGTGAGGTAATGAAGCATCTGGTTATATTGGGTGGAAAAAATTTCATGATTAATGTGAAATGAAATTATATTGATTTTTCAACAAATTGTTTGATTTATTAGAAAAATTGCAACATTATTAGCGATACCATTAGGAATAACTAGTACATCTAAATTAACCAAACAATTTATATAAACTAACAAAAAAATCAAAATAAATCGTTGCAATCAATTCAGAGTAAATTTGGAAGAAAACAAAACTCAGTCCGCAGACTTACCCGTGGCCTGTCCGGGTTAACCTGCAGACTGAGTGGTTCCCGACGAATTGGTTCGTTTGACCCGTTTTTAAACAGAGTGAATTATCTATGAACCAATTCGGTGGGAATCAGTCCGGTTCAAGACCGGGTGGCGGGCTGCCAGCCCATATGAAATGATGCTATGTTATGTTTCACAAAACTGTAAACGGAAATTGCAGGAAAAAACAAGTATGCAAATACTGAATGAATGCCGGTTTCTGGCTTTAGTTTCTGTCAACTAACGTTAGATCGGTTCTTGTATTGGCAGGTCCCCAAATTCGGATTGTCCGATCGTCACTGGCTGAAGCCAGCATTCGAGGTTTCTTAGGGTTCCAGCTGACACAGTTCACAGTCATTGAATGGCCCGACAACACTTCCAGCGGCTTCGAACTCTTCCGGTTCCAAATGTAGACCTGTTACAAACCAATCAATCTCGTCTAAGAAACAAAATGTTCATCTACTATAAAGATATATATATATACGTATGCATGTGTACCTGCGAATCCTCGCTTCCGCTGGCAATGAACGAACTGTTCAACCCACCAAAGCAAGAGCGGATAACATATTTGCTCTGCTTGTGCCCTGTGAACTTCACAGGTTGTTCGTTCTCGCCCTCAACATCCCACAGATGTATCTCTTCGCTGTTCAAGTTGATGATGAAGAATTTTCCATCATCCGAGACCGAGATTGACGTGATCGGATGCTCCTCCCATATTACTCGCTCTGCATTCGTCGCCAGATTCAAAACCCGTATCTCTTTATCCAAAAACACTGTTATCAGGCTCTGCCCGTCTGGTGTCACAGCCAAATCCAGGACCTATTTGGGAGTTACATCATTTTTGTTTTTGTGGGGGGAAGAACTTTTAGCATTAGCTTTTCGAAATCTTGAATCTGTCAACTTATCCAAACAAATACCTTTGGAATTCTAGCTCCTCTCCATGCTTTGATCTTGTTTCCATCGGTGTCCCACATTATAATCCCCTTTTCAGGATCGGAACTACCGCATATGAGCTTGGCTGAGTCGGGAAACCAAGCGCACGAGCTGACCGCAAAACCTTCGCTGTTATCCCCAAATGTGTGTCTGCAATCACCTGTTTCCACATCCCATAGCTTGAGAACCTCAACATTCCCACATGTCAATAGCTTTCTGTCATCTGGGCTCCATGAGACAAAGGACACTGGGTTCTGGTGGCTCTGGAGAGAGTGTTTCAATTCGAGTTTTCCATTGTCCAATACCTGAAACAGGAATTAGGGAGGAGGAACGGGTTTAAACAGTCATATTAAGATGCAAAAGAAAAAGTTAAAAAGCATTAGAATCCTCACCAGCAGAATGATGAAACTAACAAGCTTCCTCAAAATTAAGATATCGACAGCTAAAGAAAAGAGAATGCATGAACACAGAAACACGACAGCTTGTCGAGAGTACAAAAGAATAAGACGGCACCTTCCATATTATAGCTGTACAATCACTCGATGAAGAGGCCAAATATTCCCCATTGTTAGAGAATTGCACAAACCATACTTCATTCTTGTGAGCTGCCAAAATCTGCAAGAGAAGAAGCTATTGAGAAAGTATGAGAAGCAATGACGAACAACAAAGACCCGTACACGGGGAAAACCACTTTCTAACATTTAAAACAGGCTAAACATAACAACATCCTATAATCACTATAAAGAAGTTAACAAATTCTGCAAATCTGCTCCAGATGAACCCCGGTTGACTTTCTCTGTCTTGTGTAAAAAAAAAAAAAAACCGAAAACAAAGGCAGATAACGAACACCTGGACGGTTTCTGCAGGAATTTGGTCTCTGCCGCAACTGTGATCCTTAAAGAGCGAAACCTCATCCCAAGAGTTATGATACAAACACGAATCAATCTGATCCATCACAGCAGTCTCGACCAGATATTCCAGTCTTCTCTCAGGAATAACAATTGGTGCAGGGATCAACTCCTCCAGTTCAACCAACAACCTCTTCCTCGAATCTTGAACCAAACCCTCTTCTACTTTACCGGACTCGATCTCTTTCATCGAAAGAATGTCACAAGCAAGCTTGTGAATCTTCTCTTTTCCCATTCGAAACTGAGGAACCTGCTTTCTTAGCACACCCAGAGCTAAAGAAGCACTGCCCCGAGTAAAATACTCAAACAAGCATTGCTTGAACACCATATACAGAGCCGTATTTCTCGTCTCATCCCTAGAATTCTCAAAAATTCTATCGAGGATTACTATGCAACTGTCCCAATGGCCACTCAAAACTTGTACTTCAAGAGACTCGAAGTCAGCAGACTTATACGGGACACAGGACTCGAATTCCAGACAAGAAGCCGATTTCGTGAATCCTGAAGAGTACAAGCATTGAACTAGAACTCGTATGAACTCATGTTTCTTCAGCAACCCATTTGAACCTAAGATCTCCTCCATTGCTGCAAAAACTCTACACTATCCCAGGTTTCTTCTCTAACGTCTAAACGACGAGTTTCTAGATTCCCTATGGCCAAACTATTTTCATCCCTGTTCCCCATCCACTAGTTTATGCCCTAAAAGATCAAGAGATGAACATATTTCCCGCTGAAATTTGACTTTACCTCAGATTCCCAAACCGGAGATTGACATCACCTAAACAGAAAATAGCAATAACCATTCCGATCCATTTTTCTGCAATCTATACGCCTTCTCCGAAAGAATCCGACAAGCACGAAACCCAAATCGACAGACACAACTGGAACCGGGAACGCTGTTCAAACGCAGAGACGACACATGGATCAAAGCAGTGGAGAGAGAAATGAACAGGGGAATCGCGAGACAGATTCACAAAAAAAAAAAGAGCTGCACAGAAAAAGGAGGGAAGAACAGGAAGAATACCGAACACAGCCTCGAACGTAGAACAACGACACGGGCTTGAAATAAGGACCCGACCCGGATCCGACTTTTCTTGGACAGATCCTTTTCTCTCTGATCCTCTTCGTAATCGTAAGGAGAAGGGAACTACGAGGGAAGAATCTGTGTTATCGTTAATGGACGGTTAGTGAGAGATCGCTTGAAAAGATGAGAGGAAAAATCAGTCTGAATGAAAACGAAATGGCTTATTTTATCAAATATTATTCATAATCATATCATATGTTATTTTTTTTATAAATAAATAAATAAAACTAGGGGAAGCATATATTTAGAACGGTCCATAGATTTTAATCACTAAGTGATTTTTAATTGTACACTGTGATCTGACTTTTTTTGTCGCAACGAATAAATAATTATGAATTTTTTAAAATAAAATTGTATTTTTAGAAAAATACAAAATTTTCCTGATGGGTTGTGGTGGTGGACTCGGCCTGTTTTGTTGTGTTCTTGGATTGATTGGGCCCTACCATCAAAATGGGCTGGCCTTATCTATGAGCCCACAAGTATCTATAACGTTGGGCCGATCAAGTATAGGCCCATATAATATGATATGATAGATCTATCGTGTCTAAAGCTCAGGTAGGCCCAAGTTTTACTACTAGTATATTATATATATATATATATATATATTTGTTAAACATTTTTTTCATAATTAATTTACATATCTGTATATATCTAGAATATTACAGATTAGTATCTAAATTGAACAAAATTGGAAAATACATTCATATAATCTATAAACCCTAGTTTAATAACTCATCTACTAATTATAGGTTAATCCGTACACTTTTTTCCCCAAAAGCCCAATCAAAGTATATACCTTAATAATAAAATAATCTCAAAACTTATAAAATAAACTCAAAACGACACGAGATATTCGCCTTTTCGACATTTTCACACCCTGCCAACATGTCAACGACTAATGAATAATTACCAAATAATACACACATATATATATATATATGTATATGTATATATATATATGTATCCAAACGTGCCCAAACATGGTTATAAATCATCAAATAAAATATCTTTGCCGAGTAAGAAAGATGTTAATATTTACGTTACAGATAATCAAGAAATACATTACCATAATGGATTGGTTTTAATCCTTATTTAACTCGCTTCCGATATTGCTGGATGCGGAAACCATTTTTTGTTAAAAATAATCATTTTGTTTTTATGACTTTGTAAGAAATCGGACAAAAATAAAATCTCTCTGGTCCAAAAGCCCTAGTTCCGTAAAATTGACGCGATTGTAGGGGCAAATTAGGAATATTATGGCTTCATTAAATGTTTTTTTTTTAATTAATAATCGTTGTTGATTTTTGAGTAAATTTTTTCCCGACCAGATCCCAAGGGAGGTGGAGAGAGAGGGAAGCACGAAAGGAAAATTTTTAATAAAATAAAAAGAAACAAAATATTACACCCAGAATTATTCGAGAAAACGAAAATCAGAAACGCGTTTTGATTTGAATTCGCATTTCTTTCTGAGTTGTTCTTCATCATCACCGAATCTCATTCTCTCGAAGCTTTTTCGTTTGTCGGCGGTGTTTTTTTGCCGGTCTTCGAAGCTAGTACAAGAAGTTTAATGGTAGCTTGATTCCGAGTAGATCCAGAAGCAAGACCCGAGTTCCTGATCTGCGAAGCAAAATGGTAGGGTTCATGGGTTTTGGTGCATTATTTTGATCGTTTTTGGTTTTATGTGGGAAAAATAACAATGGGGTTTTTGTTTATTCACTTTGCTGTGTGCTGTTGTTTGATTGAATCTGAGTTTGACTTGAAGAAACAACGGAATCTGGGTTTAGCTAGTCGCTCAATGGCATCTTTTCCGTTGTTTGATTGTTATGACTTTCTCATTCGTGAAATGCTGATTTCGGCTCTGAAATGTCTTCTGTTCGGGTCATGGATTAATGACCGTGTTGACTCTTTTCTTACCAGTATCCTGATAGATAGAAGATTTGACTCAAATTCCGACATCTCAGTTCGGGTTTGGCACTTAGTGCATATCCTGACTGAATCTTGTTGAAATCTTTGTATTGTGCTGAATACCTCCATGAAATACACGGCTTTTCTGGGCATCACAGACAATGTGGCGGCATTTCAGCCATTTTTCGAATCTCTTCAGCCTTTCTGCAATCTCAAAAATATGGGGCAATGCCCATTTAAGCAGTTCTGCTTACCCTAAATCAGTGTCGGAGAGGGCAAGAATTGAATTTCTCGGCCTTCTTTGTGTGGGGAAGAATTTGTTTAATATTGCTATCTTTTCAATTTACCAACGCCGACTGCCTTGGGACAATATGTGTGGGGATGAATAACCAAATTAGTGGAGTGTTTTGTCAAGCCAAAAGTGGAAAGTTTCCCCTCCGACTATGATCAGAGTGTAAATAGACCCAAACTTTATGAATGGAGTTCATATCTCATCATCACGTTCATGATGAGGACTTGCTGGAATTACTACAAAACTAGGGAAAAAAGTTGTTGACTCTCGTATGCCATTTTCTTGTTAAGGAACTATGCCTTTGACACCCTTGTTTCTGTAGGCTACTACCTTCACTTCTACAGTCGGTTCACATGTCTGGGTGGAGGATCCTGATGAAGCATGGATGGATGGTGAAGTTGTCGAGGTTAATGGTGAAGAGATCAAAGTCCTCTGCACATCAGAAAAAACAGTATGCGCCTCCACTGAGCTATAATCAGACGGTTTTGAGATGTTTATATTGATCTTATTGGTCTCCTCTGCAAAATGTTTGTTTGCACATGACCATCAAATGCTTCTTAAGCCCTTTTAAGTTTCCCGAGCTTTAAACCTGTCATCTGAAGCATAAGAAACTCTCATGAAAGCTATTGCTTTGGAAATTCAGGTTGTTGTTAAAGCATCCAGTGCTTACCCAAAAGACGTCGAAGCACCTCCATCTGGCGTGGATGATATGACAAGGCTAGCTTATTTGCATGAACCCGGAGTCCTTCAGAATTTGAAGTCAAGATATGATATAAACGAAATTTATGTGAGTTTCTCATGTAGATTTATCCATTCACTTACCCTACACATGTGCTATTTTAATGCTGTAGATATATGCAATATGTATACAATGTCCACCTGGAACTAGAAGGCTGTTTCATCCCACTGATTTTCTGCGATAAGAACTGTTTTCTGTTAAGCTGAACCCTTATTTACTTCCAGACGTACACAGGAAGCATACTGATTGCTGTTAACCCGTTTAGAAGACTGCCTCATCTTTATAGTAGCCATATGATGGCTCAATATAAAGGTGCTGCTTTTGGCGAGTTGAGTCCACATCCTTTTGCAGTTGCAGATGCTGCATATAGGTAATTCATCACAAAATGATCTAATTATGTTTTGTTCCTTTTTGTTATCTTTATTTGATTTTTTTAATGTAAAATGGCCCGTTTGCTTGCTTCACTCTATGCAGACAGATGATTAACGAAGGAATAAGTCAATCCATTTTGGTTAGTGGTGAAAGTGGTGCTGGTAAAACCGAGAGTACGAAGTTGCTAATGAGATATCTCGCTTATATGGGAGGGAGAGCAGCTTCCGAGGGAAGGAGTGTTGAGCAGAAAGTGTTGGAGGTGAAATATCATCATATGAGTATTTCCTTCTATGATGCCTAGACAATGGTTGAATTTTCTTTTCATCAACGTTAGTTTTTCATTAGTAACTGAAGAGTGAATGATTACATTAAAGGTCAAAAGTCGGATGTATGGTTGTTGTCCGCATTAAACCCCTGTTTACACATTCAGTTTCTGCAAATGTGATTGTCGTTGTCTTTCGCACCTTTAGCTAGAAGGTCCATTTCTTATGGGTTTCTTATATTTTCCTTTCATACAGTCAAATCCTGTTTTAGAAGCATTTGGAAACGCAAAAACAGTTAGAAACAATAATTCCAGGTAAAAGACTTTTTTTTTGTTTAGCATATTTTCTTTTGCATTATTTATTTTATTTACTTTTTGTGTAAGCTCTGGAATATCATCTACTACCCGAGTTTCTATTAACTTGTTCGTTTGTGTACTTCCAGTCGTTTTGGGAAGTTTGTGGAAATTCAGTTTGATCAACGGGGAAGGATATCGGGAGCTGCAATCAGAACTTATTTGTTGGAAAGATCACGTGTGTGTCAAGTTTCTGAACCTGAAAGAAATTACCATTGCTTCTACATGCTTTGCGCTGCACCGCCAGAAGTAAGTTACAAAATACAAATACTTGTAGTCACATGTTGAGCATTTGTTTCTCTTGTGGTATAGTAATGGCATCTTGCTTTTGTGCCCACCCGCGTTCTCTATCAGGATGTTCAAAGGTACAAACTGGGTGATCCAAGGACGTACCATTATCTCAACCAATCTAATTGTTTTGAGTTGGATGATGTGAATGATTTGGAGGAATATCATACCACCAGAAAGGCTATGGATATTGTTGGGATTTGTCATGAGGAGCAGGTATTTATGTCAGAACTCCATCAGTTTTAGATTTTGCAAAAGCTGCTATATAATTTCCATAAATGACTCGTATTATACTGGTATCTCCCCCAGGATGCAATATTCAGGGTCGTCGCAGCCATTCTCCATCTCGGGAATGTTGAATTTGCCAAAGGAGTTGAGATTGATTCATCGGTTCCCAAGGATGAAAAATCGTGGTTTCATTTGAGAACTACAGCTGAGCTTCTTATGTAAATAACTAAACTAATAAAAGTGAAATTCAGAACAACGAAAAAAATGTTGTTTCCGTTTTATGGTCTTCTGTTGCAAACAGAAAAAGGGTCTCCTTATTCATATCATATTATTTTCCAGGTGCAATGAGAAGGCACTTGAGGATTCTCTTTGCAAACGTGTCATAGTAACTCGTGATGAAACCATCACAAAAACTCTTGATCCCGAATCTGCTGCTCTTAGTAGAGATGCTTTAGCTAAAATCATGTACTCAAGGTTGTTTGACTGGTGGGTTTCTTGTTCTGCCTTGAAGAAAGATATTCTTGATTGATACTTCAGTTTATTTGAAGAAATAATTGAAGTACAATTCATCATCTTTGTTCTCTACTAATCCTTTTGGTCTTTGCAGGCTTGTGGACAAAATTAATAATTCAATTGGTCAAGATCCCGATTCGAAGCAATTGATTGGTGTTCTTGATATTTATGGATTCGAGAGTTTCAAGACAAACAGGTGCTTAACCGGTACGCCTATTGTTTTCACAATTGATCAAATGGGTCTCTTTAACATAATGGATATACGATAATTCTGGATATGAGTCCAGCTCAACGTATTGGTCCTTATTCTGTCTCAGGAGTCTGCTATCATGTAGTTTTATGCTTGGTATGCTCATTTTTTTTTGTCAAGCCAGTGCAGTCTTCTAAATGGATAGCCAGATATCTTACTGCTTTTCTTCACAAGGTTGCTGTACTAAACCGTAATTTGGGCAAACTACTAAACTTAATTTTGTGTAAGAGAGTAGTATTGGACAGAATTCTATACAGCCGATAACACCGGGTACAAGAGGACCTGATGGGATGCCCCATAGGCACCCTTCCCCTGCAAGTTAGATGTGGGGGTGAGTTCTACTAGGTGATTCTTATCAAGAGGTTCTTATATCGATTTGTTTTAACAATGATGCCTAGGAAATAGTTGTTATATGGACAATATCATAGAGAAACCTTGGAATATCGAGATCACACATTGAGGAATATGAACAGTGGTGGTCCTCCCTGTAAAAGAATTTATTTATGATCTCAATGGTTGCCAGATTCTTGCCATTGTTTAAATTACTGCTTAGCGTTGCCTGTACTTTTACAGTTTTGAGCAATTCTGCATCAATTTGACAAATGAGAAACTCCAGCAGCATTTTAATCAGGTTTGATTAAGCAAGCTCTTTCTTTCCATTATGCTCTTATTGTTTTGTCTTTCTGCTTTGCCCATTGTTCTAACTGTGTGATTTTTCACCGAGCAGCATGTCTTCAAAATGGAGCAAGAAGAGTATAAGAAGGAAGAGATCAACTGGAGCTACATTGAGTTTGTAGACAATCAAGATATTTTAGACTTAATAGAAAAGGTTTTGGCTATGATATCTGTTCATCATTTATTCTCAATTTCTCAGTAATCTTTGAAGTTTCATCATTTGACCTGATTTACAATACTTCTAAAGCTTTCACTCTAACCCATCCCATGTTGATCTCTCAATCCTTTTCTAAACAGCTGCTCCTGTTTCTATATTTCATCCCCAACCAACATTTGCTGCAGCTTTTTGTCTTTTCTTGTTATGTGATTCATTTATATGTTATCGTGTAATTCTCCTTATCATCCATTTCTCATTCCCAGTGTGTGTTTCCATTTTTCATGCACACTTCAGAAACCAGGAGGGATTATTGCACTTCTTGATGAAGCTTGGTGAGTGTGAAACCAAAATCTGCTTAACTCTTTTCTCGTGTTCGGACTTAGATTATCTACTATCCTTTCATTTTGGTTTTCTATCAGTTTTTTTTAGCAATATATCTGAAGTGAGTTTTTTTTGTCTCAGCATGTTTCCAAGGTCAACGCACGAGACTTTTGCTCAGAAGCTATACCAGACGTTCAAAAATCACAAGCGTTTTAGCAAGCCCAAATTAGCCCGTAGTGACTTCACAATTTGTCATTATGCTGGTGATGTGAGAATCTGTTCCATTCGCTGCTTCACAAAGTATCAGAAGATTTACTACAAAATTTCAGCAATTGACTTATAATTATCCAGTCTAATACTAATATCCATTACGCGTCCAGGTCACTTATCAGACAGAACTTTTCCTGGACAAGAACAAGGATTATGTTGTTGCTGAGCATCAGGCCTTGCTAAATGCTTCTAAATGTTCTTTTGTAGCAAATTTGTTTCCACCTTTATCCGATGATTCCAAACAATCAAAGTTCTCCTCTATAGGTACCCGTTTCAAGGTGAGCTGATTTGGTCCCTAATTTCACTCTTAGCTAGTTCTTTATTTAATAGGTGCTTCCATTATTGAGGCCATTTTGTGCTTGTTTGTAGCAACAATTGGTATCATTGCTCGAGATTCTGAATACCACAGAGCCGCATTATATCCGTTGCATAAAGCCCAATAACCTTCTCAAGCCAGGAATCTTTGAGAACAAAAATGTGCTTCAGCAATTACGATGCGGGGTCCGAATGACATCCATTTCTGTTTCTATAATCCACTGCTTCTGTTTTTTTTCCTTGGAAGATTGATAGTTTGCCATGTTTCTAACTTCAGGGAGTGATGGAGGCAATAAGGATAAGTTGTGCAGGCTATCCTACTAGGAAACATTTTGATGAATTCTTGGACAGATTTGCTATCCTCGCCCCAGAAATGCTGAATAAGAGGTAAGATGTGCCTTCCTCTCTCAGTGTGTCCTTGGATGAGAGGTTATTCTCATCGATATGTTCTCTGGTTGACATTTTTTTGTAGTTCTGATGAACCAGCTGCTTGCAAGAAGCTTCTGGAAAAGATGGGACTTGAAGGCTTTCAGGTAATTTTTTCAATGACCAGAAAGTCGTCTGACAGCTTCTTCAAGGCTGTTTGCTGCTTCTATGTTGAGATACTCTGAGATTGTAGAATTAATATAGACGTGGGCATTTGCATTTGTAGATTGGTAAGACGAAGGTTTTTCTTAGGGCCGGACAAATGGCAGACTTGGATGCTCGAAGGACTGAGGTCCTAGGAAGATCAGCAAGCATTATCCAGAGAAAAGTTCGATCTTACCTTGCTCGCAAAAGCTTTGTCCTTCTTCATCGTTCTGCAACTCAGATTCAGGCAGCTTGCCGAGGTATTTAACTCTCTACAGAGGCTTTTGTGTAATTTCCCTCACTAGACTTACATGGGTTTCTTATTTATTTTTTCTTTTAGATTTTTTTTTTTTTGTAACTAACTAGCATGTATGTATCTTTCGTTTTCAGGTCAACTTGCTAGAAATTTATATGAAGGCACGCGCAGGGAAGCTGCTGCTTTGAGAATCCAGAGAGATTTGCGTAGGTTTCTGGCTAGGAAGTCTTTCACAGAGCTATATTCTGCTGCTGTCTCGGTTCAAGCGGGTATGCGCGGTATGGTTGCTCGGAATGACCTACATTTCAAGAGGCAAACTAAAGCTGCAACAATAATCCAGGTACACCTGTATTAAAAGTGCTGAAATTTGATACTATTGGTCTTACTTCATAATTCCGAAAACACTAAAGTAACATTCTACTACCAGAACTGAACAGTTCGTGGGAGCTTGTGAGTAACAGACAGAAGCCAGGTTCTCTGTGTCAGAGTCTAAATTATACTAATGTTCACTCTACATTACAGAGCTGTTGCCGTGGATACTTGTCTCAGCTTCATTACAGAAAGCTCAAGAAAGCAGCCATAGTGACACAAAGTGGATGGAGAGCGAGAGTTGGTCGTAGAGAACTCCGTAAACTTAAGACGGTAAATCGAGCTTTCTTTCTATGTTTAGTTTTGTTCTTCCATCATAGTGTTTGTTTGAGAGAAAACTTCTCTTCGAGAGCTGATGTTGGAGTATCTTACACTTCATGAAATTTAATGTAATTTTTCTGTAATTCAATTTACAATAAGGCTGCACGGGAAACTGGAGCTCTTCAAGAAGCCAAGAACAAGCTAGAGAAGCAAGTTGAAGAGCTGACATGGAGATTGCAATTAGAGAAACGGATGAGGGTGAGAATGAAGCGAACTTCACTTCTTTGTGTTCTGTTTGTTTCTGTGTTTGGACCTCTTGTCCATCAAGTCTTCCTTGCAATTTATCAGAATTACTAAGAGTACTCTTTCATTGTCTTCAACATTGTAGATTGACCTGGAAGAAGCCAAAACGCAAGAAAATGTGAAATTGCAGTCTGCTTTAGAGGAAATGCAACTTAAGTTCAAAGAAACTGAGGCAGTGCTTGTTAAAGAGCTTGAGGCTGCCAAGAAAGCATCTGAGATACCCCCTGTTATAAAAGAGGTCCCAGTTGTTGACAAGGAATTGACGGAGAAGCTAACAAGTGAAAAGGAAAAGTTGAAGGTTGGTTGCAATGTTAAATCTATAGCTCAGTGCTATTCGCAGAAGAAGAATATTTTTTTAATACTATCAATATGTCCTTCCTCCGCACGAATAAGTCTACTAGTATGTTTCTTCTGAATTGCTTGTCTTATACAGGAGATGGTGAGCTCACTGGAGAGGAAAATCGATGAGACAGAGAAGAAGCTTGAAGAGACCAGCAAACTTAGCCAGGATAGACTAAAGCAAGTACTAGAGGCTGAATCTAAAGTAGTGAAGTTGAACACTGCAATGCAGAGGTACTCTTTGCTAGAATCTGAACCAGCAAAAGTAGTAAAGAGCTTTGTCAGTGATTTCCACTTTAATATTCTTCATATTCAAACTGTTAGCTAATATTTCATTTTCAGGCTTGAAGAGAAAATCTCAGAGATGGAAGCTGAGAAACAAATTATGCGTCAGCAAACAATCTTAAGCACTCCTGCATGGACTGTAACAGGGCATCCTCCAACTGCACCTGTCAAGGTAGAAAAATACTCAGAACTGCTCATATATGCTCTTTTGGCTTACTTGTTATTGTGCTTGACGTTAATTTCTTGGTATTCTCTGTTTGCAGAATTTGGAGAATGGTCACCGTACAAACTTGGGGAACCAATTCAATGTACTGTGATTTTTCTAGATGACTAACTCAAGCTCTGGATTTCTCATTTTGTTTTTCCATTTCATTTCTCGTTTTTTTATTCATTTGAGAAGTCTCTTTCCCAGGAAGCTGAGTTTGCAACACCAGCGAGAATGGAATCTGACATAAAAGCTGGGAAATCTACAGTGGAACGCCAACTTGTATTTAATCGATCTATTTTACATATTAATTCTCTGTCATAAATTGAGTAATTCTGATAACTTGATATCTGCTGTGACTGCAGGAGAATGTTGATGCTCTCATTGATTGTGTTATGAACAACATCGGTTTCAGTAACGAGAAACCCGTGGCTGCATTTACGATATACAAGTGTCTTCTTCATTGGAAATGTTTTGAAGCTGAGAAGACTAATGTATTTGATTGCCTTATTCAGATGATTGGTACTGCAATTGAGGTAAACGGGAACGCATTTCTTGACATCAATTCAGATGACAACCTTATTTAGATGATTGCATTTCTAGTGATTGAGATAAGCTGAGAAGACTAGGAAGTTACAACTGCTTTCCAAATCTTTCAGAAGGAAGATGATAATGCTCACTTGGCATATTGGCTGTCAAACACATCGGCCCTACTCTTTTTGCTTCAAAAAAGCCTTAAAAGTGGTGGCAGTGGAGCAACGCCAAGCAAGAAGCCACCCATCTCGACATCTTTATTCGGAAGGATGGCCTTGGTATTACAAGTTTCAAGTTAATATGGCAGGTTACCATTTTTTTTACTGGCAAATATTTCAGAGCCTAATTATCATTTTTCATGTTTGTTCGACAGAGCTTCCGGTCATCCCCTGTTTCAGGCAACCTCGCTGCTGCGGCTGAAGCTGCTGCTCTTGCGGTGGTACGCCCAGTGGAGGCTAAGTACCCAGCTCTGCTTTTCAAGCAACAGCTTGCGGCTTATGTGGAGAAAATATTCGGGATGGTTAGGGATAATTTGAAGAAAGAGCTATCAACTTTAGTTTCTCTATGCATTCAGGTTTCGTCAATTTCCATTCACTGCTATTATAGTACTCTTAACTGATTGTTCCTTTTGCACTCGGATGGTGAATCTGGTTTTCACTCTTTCTATATTTTTTGTCTTGTGGTGCCAAATGATGAATTTCAGGCACCGAGAATGTCCAAAGGAGGGATGCTGAGATCTGGTCGGTCCTTTGGAAAAGATTCCCCAGCAAATCACTGGCAGAGCATTATTGAGAGTCTCAATTCGCTACTTGCCACATTGAAAGACAATTATGTAAGAAATTGGGAAAAAAAAATCTTGCCCTTATACTATATCTCCATTCCAACTCATCAATTCTCATATGTTTCGTGGCGTCCAGGTTCCTTTAGTACTCATCCAGAAGATATACACTCAAACTTTCTTGTACATCAATGTGCAATTATTTAACAGGTGATTATTTTCATCGAAATCTAGTTGATGACTTGGACTTGAGTCGGACCAATTGTCAGTTTTATTGCACAATTTTAACCACGTTTTCCAGTCTACTTGGAATTGGTTTCATGTGTTGTTTAATATTATTACAGCCTTCTCCTACGTAAAGAGTGTTGTACATTTAGCAATGGAGAATTTGTAAAAGCAGGATTAGCTGAGTTAGAGCTCTGGTGCTGTCAAGCCAAAGAAGTAAGTTTCCTAACTCGTGATGTTCTTACAAAATACCGCGTCTTTTTCAGTTTTGTAACACTGTTTCCATTCCTTCGGGTTGATTTGCAGTACGCTGGGTCATCTTGGGATGAACTGAAACACATTCGTCAAGCTGTAGGGTTTTTGGTAAGTTTTTCTCTTCTGAACCGGAAAATATTAACCTCCCTGATCTCTCGGTGTGTGAAATGGTACTTTCTTGCTCTTATTTACACTTTGAATCTCCAAAGTAATGGTTATCTGTATCATAACTATATCGGTAATCACACTTTAACTGATAATACTGATAATCTGTTGACAGAAACCTCACTTGACCACTTGAATTGGACTAATCAATTACCAATCTATATTTCAAGTATTTTGTTCTCTTCTTAGTTCTATTATTCCTTTCGAGCCGTGCTAATGAAACTTTGTCTTTGTTTCCCGACAGGTTATCCACCAAAAATACAGAATCTCTTACGATGAAATAGCAAATGATCTTTGCCCGGTAAATCTCTTTGCCAGTGGCTAAATCACGTCTCTTCCTAGAAATAATTTCATGCGCTCACTCATGTCAAGCTCTTCTTGTTTTATGTCCTTTTGTCTGTTCAGATCCTCAGTGTCCAGCAGCTTTACCGGATATGCACATTGTACTGGGATGACAGCTATAACACCCGAAGCGTATCTCAAGATGTATGTCCAACTTTATACTGTTAAAGGAAAAAAAAACTTTTTTTTTACCTTCTAGATGCTGAGATTAGCGAATTCTTCTTCGCAGGTGATTTCAAGCATGCGGGCGCTCATGACAGAGGAATCCAACGATGCAGACAGCGATTCCTTCTTGTTGGACGATGATTCCAGGTAATCGAGAATTTCTCCTCAGTTTGTTATCCTCATTGATAAGCTTTAGGTTAGTAAGAAACTTGTCGAAACAGCGAAAGTGTAGGAAACTATATACACTATAGAAAAACTTTACGGGAAACTGAATTAAGACAAGATCCTAGATTGTCTTAAATCGCCATGGAAAAGTAAAACCTTGACTTGTTTGTTGAATCATCATACTTTAGCTTAGATTACACACAGAAAACCGTTTTCCGACAAGGAAAACTAACCGGGTATCGTGATTTGTTTCCTGCAGCATTCCCTTCTCGATCGATGACATTGCTAATTCAATGCAAGAGAAGGATTTCGCGACCATTAAACCAGCCGAACAGCTTCTTGAAAATCCATCCTTCAGTTTCTTGCTTTAGTTGATACTATTGTTCATCGAGAAGCTCCGACTCTGAAAGCTCTTCCAGGTGGAAGAGGGGAGGGGGTTCTTCTTGAACTAAAAGTAAAGATGATGGGAAGAAGTGTAAATTTCTATTTTTGGTGGGGCTGTTTCATGCATGGTTTGTAATCTCGCCTATTCATTCTTTTATTATTTAATTTTGACCCCCGGATTTTCGTATCCGTACTTTGCCCCCTTTATTCTTGAATCGTCTTATGATTATTATTATTATACGCGCGACATCGGGTGGGGTTGAAGACGAATTTTGGGACGTAATTGTAATTGTTATGAGCTCGTAAAAGAAATAGTTTCCTTTTCGGAAAAAAAAAAGGGATATTATTGAAAATCATCGTCTAACAAATATGCCAACTAATTTAGGTCAACTATCATTTTGCTTCCGTTATTCACTTCTTCTAACGCTCTCTCGAATTTTAAATTTTGTTTCTTTTTTTCCGCCATTAAAAATATTTTTTATTAAATTATGTCTTGTTATTACCCGCAAAATAAAATGAAAAAAAAAAGTTTTTATAAGTTATTTCGGCTTTTAAAAGACAAAAAAAAAATATTTCGTATGGGCCCAAAAGATAGTTAATTGTGGTTTGGATGAAATATTGAATATGGGCCTATCGCCATTTTGGCCCAATTGTTATAATGTTGAAATGACCTACTACCCCTCCAATTCTCAGACAGAAGGAAGCATTTCGCTAATTATCCCTAGCAGCCGAACGGAATCTCAGAAAAACCTTACCAAAATCTCATCCCCACGCTCTCTCTGGGTTCGGATTTGATTTCGATTCAACCAGGTTCCGTATTCATGTCTCTATGTTTTCATCTAATTCTTTAGTTTGATTCGGATGACTGTTTCGGCTTGGGGTGCGAATCACGAACATCTATGGATTTTGTTCCTGTTCTTGTTCTTGTGCGATTGTTTTTGCTGGGAATAAGGGAACCTGGAAAAGGGAGCTAAAATGATTATTTAATGTCGGATTGATTTTGGTTTATGCAGCGGAAACGATCTTAAGTCTCTCAGGATGTCGCGAAAGGGTTTGATGGAGCAGGATCTAAGTAAACTGGATGTAACAACGTTACATCCTCTCTCTCCTGAGGTCATTTCTCGCCAAGCGACTATAAACATAGGTAATTTCCGTTATTAGGGTTTTTTTATCCCATGAAGGTTTTCCAGTTTCTTATCATCTCTGAGAATCTAAGCATGAGTCAAAACTGACGATTTTAGTGATTTACCTGTCGTCTCAGGAACCATAGGGCATGTCGCACATGGGAAGTCAACAGTCGTGAAGGCTATTTCTGGGGTGCAGGTAATTGTTATATCCATTTCCACTTATATTTGTTCACATTCCCCTTTTTTATTCGATGATCATGAGAATGGTTTATGATTAGATCGAATATGGAGATTGGCTTTGGTTTTTGAATCTTGTTGGATCAGAAGTCCTGTATTTTTACCATTGTTTGGTGCGTATGTGCAGACTGTCCGTTTTAAGAACGAATTGGAGCGTAACATTACCATTAAGCTTGGATATGCCAATGCCAAGATATACAAATGTGAGGATGAGAAGTGTCCTAGACCCATGTGCTATAAGTGAGTTCGTGCATGCTAAAATTTTCATTGTCTACTAATTCATATGGCTACTGGCTAGTGACATAAACTAACAATTTATCCGTTGTTTTAGGGCCTACGGAAGTGGAAAGGAAGACAATCCAATGTGTGATGTTCCTGGTTTTGAGAACTGCAGGATGAAACTATTGAGGCATGTGTCCTTTGTGGATTGCCCGGTATGCGGAGTTTTTATGTTGTCTCTATTTTACAGAGAGTATAATGTTTTAGTGATTTATAACCCTTGTATGCATCAATGGATGATGAGATTTACTGCTGTATAGTTTTGTATACAAACTTCCTCTTATCCGATTGGATGGAGAATTATGAGAAATGTGAGTTGCAGGAGAGGCGTTCATCCATTTTCCTCAATTGTTCTGCTCTTGTCTTGTCTCATAGATGATTTTGTTCTTTACTCTTTTAGGGACACGATATTCTTATGGCTACAATGCTTAACGGAGCAGCCATTATGGATGGCGCATTACTTCTCATACCAGCCAATGAGAGCTGTCCCCAACCGCAAACTTCTGAGCATCTGGCTGCTGTTGAGATTATGCGTCTTCAGCATATCATAATCCTTCAAAATAAGGTCGATCTCATTCAAGAAAATGTCGCTGTTAATCAGCACGAAGCAATTCAGAAATTCATAAAGGTTGGATTTTCTTATGCCTCACGTATTTATGCCATTTTTCCTTCCCCCGTAGGTTAGCTTAGAAGAGGAAAAATCCGGTTCTGAATTTGCTTCATATTCTTTGGCAGAACACGGTTGCTGATGGTGCCCCCGTTGTTCCCATCTCAGCACAACTGAAATACAACATTGACGTTGTGTGTGAGTATATCGTAAAGAAGATCCCGATCCCTGAGCGGAATTTTATCTCACCACCAAACATGATAGTTATTCGGTCTTTTGATGTCAATAAGCCGGGGTTCGTGGTTGATGAGATTAAAGGTGGTGTGGCTGGTGGAAGTATCCTCCGAGTATGTTCTCTTTACCTTTTAATACAGAGTTTGATCCAGTTCTCTCTATCTTTTATTTCTGTGGCAGACATTTTTTTGTATTCCACTGTCACAGAATACAATTATTCTCAATTTTCAAGGTGAAAGGAAAGCCGATATTTTTATGGTCTGGTTCCGTGTTCATAAGAGACAACTAAAGTGATTTAATAGAACCTAAACTGCAGATACCGATTAGAAATTTATGACGGCACTTTTGTAAATGTTAGTTGTTTTCATTTAGAGAATACAAATACCAGATTTTTTTTTTGGGATGATCTTTGTCTAACTGAACCCAGCTGCATGCTGCAGGGTGTTCTGAGAGTCAATCAAAACATTGAAGTCCGGCCTGGGATTGTTGTGAAAGATGAGAAAGGGGACATAAAATGCACACCCATATATTCCCGTATAGTTTCACTTTATGCGGAACAAAATGAACTTCAGTTTGCCGTGCCAGGAGGTCTGATCGGAGTTGGGACTACCATGGACCCTACTCTAACACGTGCTGATCGTTTGGTTGGTCAGGTTCTCGGTGAAGTTGGATCCCTCCCTGATGTTTTCGTAGAACTCGAGGTATGCCCACAATTTCTCGTTGATCAATAATACAAATTCCATGCTATTGCATCACTAACCACTAACAAGCAAAGCAAAATTGGGTTTAAAACTCGAAAGAGCACTGGGCATCTCGTATGTCTTTATAGCCAAAATTCTCGCCTGGGCTGTGTTGTACTTTCTTGCACGCTTATATAATAAACCAGCTGGTCTCACACTTAGGCCAAGGAAGCATGTCTGAACTATGGGATTGAATGGCTTTTCAGGTGAACTTCTTCCTTTTGCGGCGACTGTTGGGTGTTAGGACAAAGGGATCAGAGAAACAAGGGAAGGTGTCGAAATTAGCAAAGGGGGAGATACTGATGTTGAACATAGGATCGATGTCGACGGGAGCGAGGGTGATAGCCGTGAAGAACGACCTGGCGAAACTGCAGCTGACATCGCCCGTCTGCACCAGCAAAGGAGAGAAGGTTGCTCTCAGCCGCCGTGTTGAGAAGCATTGGCGTCTCATCGGTTGGGGCCAAATCCAGGCCGGCTCCACCATCCACGTTCCACCCTGCCCCCTTTGATTCACCACAAAACCCACTCACAGAAGAAGAAGAAGAAAAAGAGAGTTTAGGGTTTTGAAATGTGGGAAGGCAGACAACTTTTAGGGACAATTTTCTTGAGATGGAGGAGAAAACATTGCCATGAAGATTCTTTTTTTTTTCTTACTTTCCTTCCTGTCTCAATGTTTTGTTTTGTTTCTTGTTTCCAAAAAAAAAATAATCTAAGTGTCGAATCGGAGAGTCACCTTTTCGAGAGGAGGGGAGCTCTGCGGAATTGTTGTGATGAGCCTTTTATAAAAGCGATTACGATTGCTGGTTACTCTTTGTTAATTTGTTTCAATACACTACAAATAGAATAGAGAGTGATAAGGCAATTTATTTTGGGCCTAAACTTCAAAAAGATGGGCCCAAAGCCCAGTTACTACATTTATATAGCCCAACAGATAAAACACCACGCCCACCTTTTCCGAGTAAAACTCACGCGCCAGCTCTACCCGTACTTGTTGATCACCGAGAGGCGCGTGAGTTCCATTTAGTAAAATGCTGGCTCTTATTTTATTCATATTCGTCTATAATCATATATTAAATTGAATTGCTTAGATCTTTGATTAAATTTCTTTTTTCAAATCGGTAAAATTTTTGAATTGCAGATTTTGTAAAATACAATAATATATATAGATACTTTTTGCTTCAATATAATCGCACTAAGACAATCAATTTTCCACTTATAATGATTTTATTTTAAATAGTTTTCATTCATGGATTTCTCACGTTGTTTGGGGGGCCGGGGTATGTCGGTACGTTGACTAACGTGCAAAGTTTTTTGGGAATTATTGGACTTAATTGTTAAAATTAAATGTATGGGGCAAATCTAGAGTACAAATAATAATATCGGGGACCATATTGGAATAAAACAAAATAAATGGGGACCCCCACTGGACCGAATTTACAACTGTGATTTTACACCTGTTTGGGTACAAATCGGCGTCCACTTGCATCTTGCTACTTTGTCCAGCTCGCAATCCTGGTCGTGGCCAGGACATCTCTGTCCTCGCATCCAAACACCACTACTACTCGCGTTTTGATGAATATAAAAAAAAATTCTGGATAGTTGAGATTCTATGTAAGAAATAGACCATAACGTTTGGATAGAATTATATTAAAATATCCAAAAAAAAATGAAATTTATCTAAGCTGTCGCCACCCATTGTAGTTGCTGTCATGATCCTCTCCAACATTCTATTACATTGTCTTCTTCTACCATTTGTCGTCTCTCGAACTCTTTATATCTCAAAATGTAAATATATATATATATATATAGGGTAAACCCCCTAAAAAATCTCAACTTGTAAAAATATATACAAATAAACCTTCAACTTAAAAAACTGTCATTCAATCCTCGAACTTGTAACTTGTCACTGAATAAAACCTCGAACTTGCAAATTATTGCTCTAATAAACCTTTGACCGGTTTGACCACAATTTCAGGCGAACATAAATCCATGTATTAACGGATTGCTGATGTCACCTTATACACGTTATCAATTTTAATTTAAAAAATGATATCAGCATTCCATCAATACATAGATTTCTGATCACCTGAAATTATAGTTAAACCGGTTAAAGGTTAAATATATATATATAATTTTGACCTTATGAAATATGAACATGAATTGGTCGTATGATTAAGAAAGTTCCACATTATATACAAAACATAAAAAAAAAAAAAAAAGATCTACGGACCATTTATATGACCAAATCGTAAACTTGAAAGATTATGTAAAACGTTCAGCACTTTGAAAAAAAATATAGATAACTAAAATTCATAATATTATTAAAATATTTATATCACCTTTCCTAATAGAAATGGGGGCGGCCTCGAGCAATACGTACAAATGTTGGTCCAATAAGAGGAAAAAAAAGTTGTGATTACAGTTCCATCTCATAAATGGGCTGAACTGTTTTGACCCATTTCTGTGGACTCTGTTAATTCACAAGTCACGAGATTTCGTGGGCCACCACAACTCTAACCTTTTGATGAAGATAAATTCATAACAAAAAAGGATAAAATATTTGGAAAAAAAAGGATTAAAACTAAATAAATCCATTCTTATCTTAGATATTTTTTCAATTAAATTCACTTTTTTCTATTCTCAGTACCTATTTATCTAAAAGTTTGCGTTGATTGTTCTATATATTGGCGATTTAATAATTATCCCGCCTGAAATAATATTTTTCTATGAAATATGCACTGTATTAATCAAAATGTTTTGAATTTTTTCTGTTTGTAAATATATTTTTACATGGTTTAAATAATAGGCTGATAAGATAAAATAAATTATTATAATTGAATAGAACCAATGGATATGATTTTGATGGTTTAAAGTGCTGCAAAGAGTTGATTATTCAAGTTCCATGGCTTGTATTGTCCTTATATACTTAACACACACGCCTATGTATGTGTATGTATGTATGCTGGGTCAAAGAACAACATACAAACTATGTTCTCATCATGGGTTCAAATCCAAGCGTGGAGAGGGGTATTCACCTGGGCTTCTCCGATCCCCTGGAAGATGTAGTCGGGTCAAAGATCCGGTGAACTTCCGGATTATCCAAAAAAAAAACATATCACCGCACGTCATAATGGTAAACAAGAACTTTGACTGATCTCTAAATTGAGGAATCTCAATTTGACTTGCTGCAAACACTTATCATGCTTAACGGTTCAATATTCCTAATTATTATTTTTATTTTTATTTTGTATCCAAAGTATTATGATCAGGTTTGCATGTGGCCACGTGTTTCTGATTCTCTTTGAATTCCCTAATACCATATCAGCAAAATAAGTTAGTTCATGGTGGAGTTATCAATAATTAATAAAAATAATAATATTCTTGTAAATTAATTAATTACCCTTTTCGTCAAATGAGTTTATCCTTACCATATGTAGTCAAACTTAGAATCTTCTTACTTAATCACACTATTTGTCAACGGTCTCAAATTAGTTACCAACGATTTCCAATTATTAATGCAACAATTTCTCTCAATAATTAATCCAATCATAATTTCTGTTTACAGAACGGATTTTTTGGTAATTAGCAATGGATTTTTCAATATCAAAATATAAATATCTTAATAGAGAAAAACAAATCGAATTTTGAAATTACATTTTGTTTTATGAAATATGAAATCAAAATAATATATTAAAAATACCAATGGAGTTTACCAAATAATATGCAACATAACCGTTAACAATAATAATAATAATAATATGCAACATAAGGTCATTATTGTTACCCTAAACCCGACACAATTTCTCGATTAGTGTATGCATATAGATATACATGTCGACATGTGTGTGTATATACATAGACGTAGGAAAGAAATTTGACTGTCCACTACAAGAGGGAATCTCAAAGCAGTGGTTCCGACCAAATTTAAGATTAGATCACGTCACATGCATAATCTTATTTCATTAGATTATTAAATCGAATTAATTAAGGTTAAAGAAGAATAATTATGAATGAAAATATAATGTGTAGAGTAATCTGACCAAGTTCTCGATCGTGACTTCGGTCAAAGGCACGCCTATAACTTGACACGTGTCCGATCCGTGTATATATATAAAATGTAAATTCACATGTAATATTTTCTTTTAGTGCAAATTCATGGCCAGTCTTATAATTTTTATTAATTTCATACATTTACTTCATACTGGGTTCTTTCTTAAGTATTATGCATGCACATTGCAAAGTAGTCTACTCTACGTGGAGCGAAGATGTGCGCATGCATGTTGTTTGATAGATGAAAACGCCACGTAGGATTATGGAGATCCGAATTAGATTCTGCCAAAAAAATTTAATCCATCATAATTTATACAACTTTCACATGAGCTATGTAAATTTTGAAATTTTAGCTCGCATGCCGTATGCTGCATGCACGTTGATCAATATATATATATATATGGGGCGATGTTTACAAATATATATATATATATATATATATATATATATATTGGGGCGATCATAAAATCTGAATTTTTCTTTACGGTTTCGATACTAAGTGACATTGTGCAATCAATAATTTTCCATAGTGATATGTGTATATATATATATATAACATGTGTGTTATATTAAGGTCATATTTTTTTTATGGTCCAACTATTTTTATTGTAAGAGAAATCCTTGTATAATTATACAATTGCCAAATATATACATATATTAAGTGAAGAACGGCATTTTGCTTGCCCATCCGACACAAGCAATATATTATATGCATACTCCTCGCATTGTATATACAAATAATGTTTATTTGAGCGTATATTTATGCATATATATATATATATATGTATGAGAATTACTCATCATTAATGGCAGTTGACTTATATCTGATAAATAAAAATCGCAGGATTCTTTCAACTACTAAAATTCGGCAATTATGGACGATTCTTAGGATTATATATATTACATCTATAGTGGATATTAATATTATAAAGATTTTTTTTGTCATTTATATTGTACATGTGTAATATTTTGAGCAGAGGTTTTAGAGGGGGCCATGTGAACCGAGACGTATAAAGGTGTAACGTGTATCACATCCTCCATGATTGTACTAAAAAGGATAAGGAATGTAAAACATTAAATATTTATTTCTTACTAAATTAATACAGAAAAATTGTAGTATGTCATTAATTTGTAATCACAATCATATATATTGATATAATTACAGTACCTTTCGAAATATCTAAGAGGGGTCCCTTTTAATTAGTGAGATGATCATTGAACGTAACCGAAAGTTTTAGATTCATAATAATTATACAAAGACTTAATTTTGTACTATTCGAAGTCCGTCCATATATAATGTATATTATATTAATACATTTACAGATCGCATACAAGCGTGGTCGACGTTTCACCAACCAAATTCAATCACTAATGAAAAATATAACAAAAGCCTGTAAATGGAATCTAACCTATTGTACGCGTAATAACATATATACATACATACATGATACATATATATATATTATACGTGTAGATTAGGTATGCCTGTGATGGCTAGCTTAAGTTTTTTTTTTTAAATAATGGTCGGAATCCGTCTTACAACTCTTCAGATCGGATGGTATTTCAGACAGTAAATCTCTGATTCCGTATAATTCTCGGTAAACCAAGTGGAACAGATAAATCAAACCAAACTGACTAACTCAAGAGAAGTTCAGATTTCAGGAGGAACTGAACCCACGATCTCGGGTAGAGTGAGTTGTCATTTTCTATTTGGGAGACTTCCCTGGCTGGCGTAAGTTTATCTTTGATTGAATCGGATTTCGAGATTAAAGTCGATATGGCGTCGAGACAAGCAGTTTTAGCAAACCAAACTGTCATTGGGTTATGTTTTTTTCTCTTTTTTTTTGGGCCAATTATAAGATGCATTGATAATTTGGTTATATATTTCAATTTACAAATGAACATCTTACGTCGTCTCTTATTCACCAAGCAACTTCTCACATAAAAGCTGAGAAAAAAAAAAACGGATTTATATATGATTATATATATATATATATATATATAATACCACAATCACATAGCGAATATAGGTTAGCTTTATTGTTAAATCCATGATATGTGTATCTAATAATTTAGCCAGATCTCGCAAAGATATATAAGATAATCTCTCCCAATCTAAATCCCTTTTTTTGGATTTCATATTTGGAGGTATTCCTGTAAAATGCATCTCATAATTATAAACCGATACATTATATATATGTGTATATGTATGTATATGGGCATGCATATGTATGTGTGAATTCAAATGTACAAAATATGGTTGTGCGAACATTTGACGACCGTAAATATTCGCAAACATTAATATTTTCGGATTACAACAATGTGTTTAATGTCATAACCATATAAGTATGTAGGCTTTGTTTTGTCTCTTTTATCTTATCATAATATTTTTTATTATATTTTAATATATCAATTCACAAATTAAACCTATGATTGTCTTTTTCTTTCCCGTTTAACAAAGGGATTCATGCACATGCTTACATCATTTCCCCATTAATATATTTTTCCCCAAATTAAGTTAGTGGGTTACATCTACGCATGCAATTGAAATATATATTTGTTCTTCCCATATTCTTATTATTTTATAAAACCGAAGGAATTGTAAAAGAAAGTTGCTAATTAAAACATACATTAGGTCAGAGAAAGGGCCTTTTATTTGGCACATATAATGTGTGTATATATATATATATATATATATATATTAGGAGGAAAGTATTTTAGGTCGTTATATAGAATTGACATTAAATATTATGATAAACCCACTATAAGATTAAATTACATTAAGAAAAAAAAAAGGCAACTAAAAGTTCCACCTTTTCTCTTTCGAGATCAAAAGAAAAATTCCTATGGAAGGTGCGAAGAAATTAATATATATTAAAATAAACCGAATAATACCATAAAGGGGAAAACAACAAAAAATAAAATTTATAAAATTAGTGCTAATTGAATTTTTTTTTTATGTTTTTTTTAAGAAAGATGTTAATTGATTTGACGTGAGTAGGTAGTCGGCGAACAAGTTTAAGTGGGCCAACGTTGGGCCTCTCCGGCTCACCATCCCCTCCACGTGGTTGCATACTTGTCAGCCCACTATGCCACGTGGATTTCTAAATATATGAATTCAATATGGTCTTATATATGTGTATGTATATATATATTGTATATATATATTGTATATATATATATACATACACAGCGAAAATTATACAAGCGAAAATTATTACAATATCTCTATTTCGTTACATTTAATTTATGTTAATACAACAGAGTATATTACAATGTTAATTTCCTTACATATGCAAGTATGTTAACCTCTGTATAATATAATATATATACAATATACACACATCATTTAATTTATTCTCCTAAGATAGATATATAATTGTGAAAGCTCAAAGCTAGGAGCATAGTTTCACAATATGTATATGATGCATCATTTTCATATTGGTCCATCACGCCAATTATCCACCCTTTCACATCATTAAATTTCTAAGTATCTTGAAATATTCGAAACTAATCATAGTAGAAAGTGATAAATTAATCGAATGATTAATTTTAGTATCACCAACACACACACACACATATATATATATATATACATATATAAATACCGCGTATATTTAGGGGATTTTATGAGATACTCTAATCAAAGTCACATCAAGAAACTCTACGATAGAAGAATCGAATAATTCCTTTAAAATACTAAATTATTTCGCATTTTAAGCAACGCATATGATTAAAGCAAATGATTAATTAAAATAATCCAAAAATATATATTCACACTAACAAAAAAAAATGCTCAATTTTTTTAAAGATAAAATCGATCCTAATAACGCGCAAACCACATGCAGTCACCCTCCGAGATCTTCCCTATATAAACTCACTCCCTCTCTCCCTCCCTCCTAACCAACCCAAAAACCTCATACAACAAACAACAATCTCATTCCAGTTTCACTACCTACATTCTAAATTCGATCTAATTCCGCTCAAAATTGCCAAAAAACTTATTCAATTTCACTCCCTGTATTCTCTGTTCGATCAAACTCACCCCCAAAGCTCAATCTTATACACCAAAAACAGCAAAAGATGGAGAACATGTTTAGGCTCATGGACAGTGAAGATTTCTTGTCGCGACGCTGCATTTGGGTGAACGGACCGATTATCGTCGGGGCCGGGCCCTCGGGGCTAGCCACCGCGGCCTGCCTCCGCGAGCAAGGTGTGCCCTTCGTCGTTCTAGAAAGAGCCGATTGCATAGCCTCTCTATGGCAGAAAAGAACATACAACAGGCTCAAGCTTCACCTGCCCAAGAAATTCTGTGAATTGCCCAAAATCCCCTTCCCGGAGCACTTCCCGGAGTATCCGACAAAGCGACAGTTCATCGAGTACCTTGAGTCCTACGCAAAGCGGTTCGAGATCAGCCCGAGGTTCAACGAGTGTGTTCAGTCCGCTAGGTACGACGAGACAAGCGGACTCTGGCGAGTCAGGACCACCGTATGCGGTGGCGCGTCGCCGGTAAAAACGGAGGTGGAGTACATCTGCCGGTGGTTGGTGGTGGCGACTGGTGAGAACGCGGAGAGGGTCGTGCCGGAGATAGACGGATTGACGACGGAGTTCGACGGCGAAGTGATCCACGCGTGCGAGTACAAGTCCGGCGAGAGTTACCGGGGGAAGAGAGTTCTTGTCGTCGGTTGTGGAAACTCCGGCATGGAAGTGTCGCTCGATCTCGCTAACCACGGCGCTTGCCCCTCCATGGTGGTCCGGAGCTCGGTAAGTGAAACCCAAATCATCTCAAAATTGAACTTTCAGCTCACCCGACCGCTCGATTTAACAGAAAGATTCAAACTTTGGGCTAATCGGATGATGGGTTCTTTGATTCAAACAGGTTCACGTGTTACCGAGGGAGATTCTGGGCAAATCAACATTCGAAATAGCGATGATGATGATGAAATGGTTGCCTCTGTGGCTCGTAGACAAGCTCTTGTTGATCTCCGCGTGGGTGATTCTTGGGAACTCAGCAAAGTACGGTCTCAAGAGACCAGAGATGGGACCCATGGAGCTGAAGGGTACCACCGGAAAAACTCCGGTGTTGGACATCGGTGCACTTGACAAGATCAAGTCCGGCCACGTCAGAGTAGTCCCCGGAATCAGACGGTTCTCAGGCCGCCACGTGGAGCTCGTCAACGGCCAGATGCTTGAGATGGACGCCGTTGTTCTCGCCACCGGTTACCGCAGCAATGTCCCATCTTGGCTTCAGGTGAGAGAGACATTCCAGAAATGAAAAAAAAAAGTTACAGAAAACCGTTTCTTGCGAAACAAGTAAACTAAATATCTTTTCTATACATCTGTTTCCTTTCAGGATGACGATCTTTTCTCGAAGAACGGATTCCCGAAATCGCATTTCCCGAACGCGTGGAAGGGGAAATCGGGTCTATACGCGGCCGGATTCACCAGAAGAGGACTGTCTGGTGCGTCTGCAGACGCCATGAAAATTGCTCAGGACATTGGAAATGTTTGGAGAGAAGAGACCAAACAACAGAAGAAGAGGACGAGGGCGTGTCACCGCAGATGCATTTCACAGTTCTGAAGAGAACGGATTCCAGTTTCTTAGAGCCCAAGTTAGGTTTTTTTTCTTCTTCTCTCATTTATTTAATGGTTTAATATACAAGAAAAAAAAAGGTGTGACCATATCTGTAAAAAAAAACAAAAGTATACGCATTACATAATTTACATTAACAGTGTATGTATACGGAGAAGAGGAGAGCCCTCTCCTGAAGGTCCACCAGTGTTTTTTTTTAAGGCTGTGTGGGCGTTTTGTAAAACAAGGATGACGTGGCTTTTTCCTTTTTCCTTCTTTTATTTATTTATATATTACTTGTAAACATTTTATACAAAATCTAATAAACGGGCTGCTTATCAAATCCACAATTAAAATAAACACCTTTTTTTTTTTTAATCCTGTCTTAAATTGACAAAATTTATATATGTTTTAAATAGCAGACAATCCATTATTTATAATTAAAAGAGTATAAATTGTAGTAATGGACTATGTGTCGTGTCACCATATATGTATAACCTGTATTATCCTATACATGTACCGGTGAAAAATGAAATTAGTACATTTTTCAGCATTTTCTTGAATTAAAATTGAATTTACAACTGTCTGAAATGATTTTAGATGATTTTGTAATTTATCATGGTTAGATTATTTAACCAGCTCCAGAAAAAACCTAAATAAACCTGAGATTTTCTTTATCGTCCAACAGCTATTAGCTGTTTTTCCCCATCTCTGAAAAGAATTTAGGGCATTTTGCGACAAGCAGAAAGAACGGATCTTCGTTACTCATCTTTTCTACTCTCCCTCCATAAACCCTAGTGGAGGCAGAAAACCCAAATCACCGATTGTTTTCTTCCATCGTCCTCTCGGAGGCATCGAAAATGGCGGAATCAGGTAAGGCAGGGCACACGGGACCTAGCGGTGGGGGAGAGGAGAAGTCTCTGAAGGACAAAGGCAATGAACTCTTCAAAGCCGGGAACTATCTCAAAGCCGCTGCTCTCTACACTCAGGCCATCAAACTCGATCCTTCTAATCCTGCTCTTTACAGGTTCCGCCTTTTTTCTTCCATGTTTCGATTTTGTTCTTTTTCTCTTATTGGGTTTTGGTGGGTTTGTGTCAAAATGTTGTCTTGAGCTGTTTCTCGCAACTTTTCTGGATCGGTACATATGTACACGCGCACATTATACGCTTTCTGGAAACTATATTCGTTTATTCCGATGTCTATTCAATCTGAGAATTGATGCGTTTTACCTTGCTTGACTACGGATGCTCCCTTTGCAGCCACTTCCATTTATTCTGCAAATTTTCAGTTCTTCTTAGTTGGATTTGATTGGTTTACCTTTAGGAGGTTCGCCACTCTCTTTTGGAAGATTTGCTTTTAATGGTTGAAACAGTGTACTGTGAGATTATATCTATGATAATTTGTAATGTTTTCATTGTCTGTTTCCTTCTAGGAGTCTATTGTAGCAGAAGCCATTTCAATTATCGTGATCGAAATATGTTTGGTAGAACAAGGCTGAAGGTGTTAGGTTCTGTGAAGAATTTGTCCCTGTTGATGGTAGCAGAACACTAAATTAGATCAATGAGCCAGTCATTTTTTGCACATTTTGAGTGTGATTAGCTTTCTTTGTGATCCGATGCAGTAACCGAGCAGCAGCGTTTCTGCAGTTAGTTAAGCTTAACAAAGCTCTAGCTGACGCTGAGACAACCATCAAGCTGAACCCTCAATGGGAGAAGGTAAAAGAAAGCGATTGTTCTTTACTAAATCTGTTATTACACACGTGTTCTTAGGATCTTTATGTGAACCATGGCTTTCTGATTTGTCATCAGGGGTACTTCAGGAAAGGTTGTGTACTGGAAGCCATGGAAAAATACGAAGACGTAAGCTTTCTCTTCTTTCGTTCTTGTTTCATTTCCTTAAAACACCAAAATCATTTCATGATAATGATAGACGATATCTCTCTGTCATGTTTGGGATAGGCCTTGGCAGCGTTCCAGACGGCACTGCAGTACAATCCACAGAGTGCAGAAGTTTCTAGAAAGATCAAGAGGCTCGGACAGTTGCAGAAGGAGAAACAGAGAGCTCAAGAAGTGGAGACTTTGAGATCAAATATCGACATGGCCAAGCATCTTGATGATTTGAAATCGGAGATGGTGAGTCTTGTAAAAAAAAAAACTTAATATCAAGCAACCCTTTTGGATCCATTGCATACAAGCATTCTTCACGCTTACATCTTACTGTAATAGATTTATTCAACTTGTACGCTGCAATTTTTATTCGTTCTTTCTCTTTAAGATTGGTCCAAATAAATTTGGGATTAAAGAGATGTTGTTATTGATTCTCATTTAAGATTGGTCCTTACTGAATCTCCATGACTCTTGCAGTCTGAAAAGTATGGAACTGAAGCATGTTGGGAAGAGATGTTCTCTTTTCTTGTTTCGACCATGGAAGCAGCAGTGAAATCATGGCACGAGACTTCTAAAGTTGACCCGAGGGTCTTCTTCCTTCTCGACAAAGAGAAAACACAAACTGATAAGTATGCACCAGCAGTCAACATCGACAAGGTATACATCGATACGACGCAAGTGGTATAGGTTGAATTAAGAGGAATAATTCAAGAATTATGTTTCCTTACGCTCGTTTTTTTTCTCTGATGAACTGTTCAATTCCTACACAGGCTTTTGAATCGCCACACACACACGGCAATTGCTTTGCATTCCTCAGGCAATACTCAGAGGAATCATTCTCTAAAGCTGCTTGCTTGATAACACCAAAGAGTATTATATCCTACCCACAGGTGCCGGGATCTTCTTTCGCTTGCCAAAGACTCGGTTTTTTTGTAAAAGTTTTTCTTGTGGACTGATCAGTAGTGTGTCACAGGTGTGGAAAGGACAAGGTTCGAGGAAATGGAAACTCGGGCAGAACGACGGGTTCTTTGTTCAGTTCGAGTCTCCATCTGTTCGAAAACTCTGGTTCATCCCAAGCTCTAAAGAAAAGGGCCAAACTTTGTGCAGGTATATGGTCCATTTACACATTATATCTCACATGCGCGTTGGTGTGTGTATATATACACAAACCATTCCTTTTTTCATGGGTATATAACTATATATATATATCAGCATATGTACAGGTACATATTCATGGTTGAGTTTGTGTAAAGCTCCAAACTTTGAAAAGCTAACTTTTGGAATTCTGACTGGATTGATTGGCTTCAGGGACCCTCAAACTCTGGATATCAGTGCACACGAGATTCTTCCTCGCATTTTCAAGGAGACGCCAAACAACTCGTAGAATTGGTCAAGCTGCCTCTTTTTTTTTTTCATTTTTGGCACGGCTGGACAATTTGTTTGTGGGTTTTTTTTTTGGGTGTTATGTCATCTCTTTCATGAACAAACACATAATAGTGAAGAAGAAAACAAGAATCTCATTGGGTTTTGTTGTATTTGGCATTGCATGTGAATGTGAATGGAAAGCTGTAATCTTTAGGGGGAGGGGGGGCAGCCAACCATCCTTTAGTTGGGGATTAGTGCACCCTTCGGCTTCAAAACATTTTCTTTATCTATATTTGATCAGTGTTTATGGAGTATTATATAAATTTTCTGTGAATTAAGTTCAAATATTATAAAATCTTTTTCTTTTTTTCATATCTTTCTTCAATGCCAAGCAATGATAAGATTCCATGAACAAGAGGCGCCTGAAGGAATATGCCTTTGAAGTTTGATCCGATGAAGAACAGCGGAATCTTACAAGAGAACTGGGTAGTCAATTACGAAGCAAAATAGACCAATGAGATGATGCCACGTGGAACATGGCCCAACAATTAACTCGGACCGTACGATTAAAGAAGCCAAACTGTACCTCAGCCGCCCATCTTTCCATCTTTCGCATCTTAAATACGCGAAAGCTTCACATAACTTCCCCACCTTCTCTCTCACTCTACACCACTCTCTCTCTCTCTCTCGAAGTGTGGAAATGGATAAAACCGTCGGAGAATTTTGGAAACCGGATTTGGTTTTCCGGCCGCCGGAGACGCCGGTGGACCCCATGGAGTTCCTGTCGCGGACGTGGAGCGCGTCCGCACTGGAAGTCTCTCGAGCCGTCGCGTCGCCGAAGATGCGTGTCGCCGACGTCCGGAAGAGGGACGACATCACACTGGTGCCGGAGGATGACGTGACGGAGGCGCGCGGGGAAAACAACTGCGTCGTTTCGGGAAACCAGTTCTCGTTCGTTTCATCCGAGACTTCTCAGATGGTCATGGATCGTATCATGTCTCAGTCCGTGAGTATAATTAACCACACGACGTCGTTTTCTCCAACACTGATTTTTCAATGATCCTATTTAGTTTCTGAAATTCTCTTATTTCATTGAATTTATTTTATTTTTATTTATTGTTATGGATATTATTGTGTTTAAATATCGTAAATTATCGAGTATATAGTTTCCTCAGTCTCACGCGTAATTATTAACTCAAGAAGCTACTCGAAGTAATTATTAGTACTATCGCGATTCAGCTTACCCATCTATGTATTGAAATAAAAAGCATTGCCAAAAAAAATTCTACCCGAATATTTACAAGTTTTTTTAATGGTTTTGATTTAATTATATACTTTATAATAAATGATATTTATTAATTATTAAATGTTTTTTTTATGTTGCGGCAGCCGGAGATAACATCGCCAAGGACGTCAGGCAGGCTTTCGCATAGCTGTGGTTCTTTCTCCGACAGCCCTCCCGTTTCTCCCTCCGACATCGACGACTTCAAGGTCTCTTCATTTCTCGTACCGGAAATCGAGACTCTTAACCGGACTCTAATTAAAATCGGATATAATATAATATCTATCATTAAATTATATATTAAAAAGTAAAAACAAATTTAAGTGTTACATCATTCATTTGTCTAAGGGTCTTTTCATATGTTGTAAAGAATGCATCAAACCGGTTTTGCTTCATTAACAAGGAAGAAATCTAGCTTTAAGGTTCTCAATGAAAAAAACTACTATTTCATTGTCACGGGCAAGTTGGCATTTTGAGGGTTAGTGGGTAAGAATTAATAGTAAGTGGGTCCAATTCATTAGATCAATCAAAGTTGTGGGGCTATATTGTAAATTATGTGGAAATCGTTTGACATGTAAAGAGGCTCAGCCTCTCTCTTTGATCGAAGTTTTTCCTTCGTCAGATTAGGTGAAAAGGTAAAATTTTAAATGATTAAAATCACCTGGAAAAACATAAAAAAAATAAAATCGGGCTAATCTTTTTTTTTCCCATAACGTACGTGGGGATTTCCATGCAGCAGTTCTACCGCGTAACCCCCTCCACCAACACCCACTTACGCCATTCACCCTCCGCCGCCGCCGTCTGCGTGGGCGGCAGCGGAGGTGGAGGTTCCAAAACCGTCGGACGATGGCTGAAGGATCGGAAGGAGAAGAAAAGGGAGGAAGCCCGGACCCATAACGCACAGCTCCACGCAGCCGTGTCCGTCGCAGGAGTTGCGGCGGCGGTGGCGGCACTCGCGGCTGCCACCGCGGCTCAGTCGAGCTCTGGCAAGGACGAGGAGGTTGGGAGGACAAAGCTCGCCATAGCCTCCGCGGCCACGCTGGTGGCGGCACAGTGCGTGGAGGCGGCGGAGGCCGTCGGGGCCGACAGGGAGCAGTTGGCCTCCGTCGTGGGCTCCGCAGTTAATGTCAGTTCCGCCGGAGATATCATGACGCTAACCGCCGCCGCCGCCACAGGTAACGTACGATCTTCCCCGATATGCAATCCTTTATTGAATTCTGTAACATTCACTAATAAAAACCCACAAACCTGAGATAATTCAGCAACCGATAATAAGGAAGATGACTATAATTTGGTAGGAATAGTGGTATTGTATATATAACATTTCGATCGGTACGTGCAGCATTGAGGGGAGCGGCCACGCTGAAGGCGAGGGCACTGAAGGAGGTGTGGAACATTGCGGCGGTGATTCCGGTGGAGAAGGGAATCCCAATGGGAAGCACATACGGCAGTGAGTTCGGTCCTGAAGACAGTTTCTTGGGGATTTGTGGTATAGAATTGCTTGCTAAAGGATGCGAACTGCTCAAGCGCACCCGCAAAGGTTAATCTCTTACGAAAATTTGCCGAGAAAGATTCCATTTTTTCCCCGAAATTCAAGAATTCAATATGTCGATAATCTTTGGATTTTATGGGGATTTTGATATCATTTGCAGGAGATTTTCATTGGAAAATAGTCTCAGCGTATGTGAACAGAACCAACCAGGTGAGATATGCAATGCAAACCAAGTAAAAGTTCATGCATGGTTTTATATTTCAAAGTATGCATCTTTTCTGCTCAGGTAACGTTGAAGATGAAGAGCAAACATGTTGCCGGGACCATCACAAAGAAGAAAAAGAGTGAGTGATAATACATTTTACATTACTTCTTTGTTGATGGGTGAACTCAAGCAATCGAAAAGGCTCAAACTTTGGAATCTAAGATGAGATAGAACATTGCATAAAAAGATCCAAAACTGCCCTTTGTAACACGATTTCGATATCGACAGATGTGGTAGTGGACGTGGAGGGAAATATTCCGGCGTGGCCAGGCAGAGGGATGCTCAAGGGAGGGGATGACGTGAAGTATTTCGGGATAAAGACGGTGGAGAGAGGAGTGATAGAGTTCGAGTGCCGGACCCAAAGGGAATATGATCTTTGGACACAAGGTGTTTCCAGGCTCCTTTCCTTGGCTTCAGACAGAAGGTGCGGATACTGAAATCTTTATGAAATATGAAAAGAGAAAACAAAGAGGGGTGAAACTGAACTTTTCGATTTGTTTGGGGTTACAATTATGTACCTTGTTTTTGTAAGTTATTGGGGGTTTGGCTAAAGTTGTACGGAGACGAGGACTTCTCTGACTCCGGAGAAAATCGAGGGGTGAAATTAAGATATTTACCATTTATGGGGTTACAATGTCATATGGCAAGAAGATAACGTGGACCTACTTGAACAACGAAATTTAAAATTTTATGGAAGATTATTTTTCCAACAATAGAACATGATTGAGTTTTTAGTTATTCTTGCAAAAAAAAAAAACCCCCATTTATTCATTATTAATTTCAAAACGAAAGTACGCCACATTAGAAGAAGGAATTTTACAGAATGACCTCCAACTCTTGAATGTCGACAGGAACACCCTGGTGGCACCCATCCTTGATCATGACCAATTCAGCATCATCCCCATACAGATAAGCCTTCAAAAAAGCCACAATGATTCCACCGACAAATCTCCTCATAGGTTCCCTACGGTCACCGTTCTTGCACAAACAATACGAGGCCTTCCCCCTAATCCCCCTCGTCTCGTCATCAAGCATGTCCAAATGGCCATAGCCCTTAGCCACCAGATGCCAAGCCGGTCCACGACATTCTCGGAAAAACTCACGGTGGTTCACCCCGGGCGGCGCGCAGGGCGGAAACAGTGGATTCCGAGGGATTTCACCGAGTCCCGACCCGATTACCAGAACAGGTAGACCGTCTAGGTTAAATGAGTTGGGCGAATAGGTTAGGACAGGAGGAGGGGTTTGCTTTCCTCTGTCCATTCCATCGACCGGGTCTATCCCGATCAAAGCCGAGAACTTTAAGTTGGTCGAGATGCCGAGCTTCCCGAGGGCGAGGGCGAAGGCCGTTTTGCCGCCTCGGCTGTGGCCGGATATTGCGAATTTGTCGAGAATTGGGGTTACTTTCGGTGGAAGGAAGTGAGGGAGTCCGAGTGATAACCAGTCTATTGTTTCGGCTGTTGATCTAATCTCATCTACCGTGTCCGGTCCAGCTATGTTGTACAACTGGTGATACCCAACGGAAATTTCACGTTATGTCGGAATTAATTAAAATGTATAATATATGATTCTTATTATATGATGAGAGATCGAGTTTTTTTTTTTTTTGGCCACGAGACATTAAACATGATTGGGGACAGGAGATCACATCAAAGTTTCTTTGCATGTTGCTTCGTCTCTAAGTTTTGTAAAAATAAAATGACACGTGGCACCAAGTGCACCATTCATCGAGTTCTAGGTTTATCTCTGTTTTAACATCTCGAGTATCATTAACACTTCCGAATAATGAGGCCCACTATATCATAATTTTAATAAATATTGTAACTTTTAGAAGCATAGGAATACGGGAATATGTAATTAATTAATTAGGAGGATATAAAGTTTTATTTTTCAAAAAAAAAAAGAGAGAAGTGAAACCTGAGGAGCGATGAGGATGAAGCCATGAGAGGAGAGATGAAGCAAGAGCTGTGAATAGAAGGAGTTGCAGAGGAGATAGCCATGGAGAAGCATCGCCGTATCATTAACACTTCCGAATAATGAGGCCCACTATATCATAATTTTAATAAATATTGTAACTTTTAGAAGCATAGGAATACGGGAATATGTAATTAATTAATTAGGAGGATATAAAGTTTTATTTTTCAAAAAAAAAAAGAGAGAAGTGAAACCTGAGGAGCGATGAGGATGAAGCCATGAGAGGAGAGATGAAGCAAGAGCTGTGAATAGAAGGAGTTGCAGAGGAGATAGCCATGGAGAAGCATCGCCACCGCGTCCTCTCCCTCCTCCCTCGGCGTCGCCACCACCATCGGCTTCGGCGGCGCCGACCGATACGCCGTCGTTTTACCGCATGCAGATGATGATGATGGGTTCACTGTTATGAGCTCTGTTTTGTAATCTCCATCTTCGAAGACGTTCTTCATCGAGGGAGACGACCGCTTTTTACTCTCGAGTTTTTTCTCCTTTTATTTTTTTTGGATATTATTATTAATATTATTTGCAGATTATATAGGCGTCAGGAAAAAAAAAACGGAAAAATGGAATATATATATATATATATTTGGGTTTTGTTTGTATAGGCCTATATTTTGGGTCTACGAAATGATATTTGGGCTTTAATTCCATGTATTTGGGCTTCATATAAGAAAAGTAAATAAACCTAAAATGGAATATATATATTAATTGCGTGCTGATTCCAAAAAATAATCCGAATGAGCAAAGGGTCATTTACTCAATCAGTTGACTTTTTATAACCACCACATGCCTTTACCTTGATATGCAATTTTCAATTTATTAATTATTATTTATTTTTCTCCGTCGCGAATAATAGTACCGAGTGGCACGTACTCGCCACGTCACTTTCCTGCTCTGATTAAAATGTCTTATCCTCTCTCTCTCTCTCATTCATATCTGCTTTTGTCCTATATAATTAATTAATCAATTGATTAATTAACCCTTTAACCGAAAAATTTCCCCTGATTAAATATAAATTATTTTGGAGATACGGTGCAGTGTCTTGTATACGAAGTTTCCGCTAAAAAAAATCATGAATATATATATATATATATATATGTGTGTATATAATTCTCGGATATAAGAATTAGAATTGACTCATTACTAAAACTAGATTAGAAAGTTGTGAATACAAAATTTATTAATGTTTGTCAAATATTTAATGAATTACTGATTTTATGTGATAAATTTATTACAAAAGGAATCTGCAATAATAAAGAGGGAAAAGGAAAAGAATCCGAGACGAACGAATATTAAATTATCGTTGGATCCCAATATCGCAAATATATTATCCATATTCTCTATTGCAAAAATAAAAAATAAAACAAATGCAAAATTACGAGCCCTCTCTCCTTGCGACAGGTAGCACACCGCAAAACGACGGGCCCCTCCCTCCCTCCTAGATTCATTCATATAACTTTCCCGTTTCTTTCTTTTCTCGCCACTTTCTCTCGTTTTCTCCCATTTTCCTCTTCGGATTTTCTCCCTATCCAAACACAGGCTTTCTCTCTCTCGTCGACCATTGGATAAGAAAAATGCTCGCTGTGTTTGAGAAGACGGTTGCGAAGTGCCCCGAGGAGCTGCAGAGCCCGCATTCGGCTGAGCCGGTCTGCGCTTTGAAAGACGGGTTCCTGGCGAGTCACTTCGACTCGGTTCATCCGAATTCCGTCACCGTTAATCTTGGATCCTCCGGAATCTTTGTTTACTCGCTCGCCAAGCAGAATCCGCTTCTTCCGAGGTATAATACAGTTTCAAGCTTCTCGTGCTTTGATCTTTGTGCTTGATCTGGTGATTTGTTCCTTCTTTTTACACGATTGTTCGCTTCTTGATCTCGTCTCGGTTGTTTCCTTTCCTTCTTTACTGAGCCTAGGAGTCTGATGATTTTATTTTCTCCCTTTTTTGGTTAGTTCTCTTCTGAAATTCGTCATCGGCCTTTACCTGCGACGGTATTGACTACTGAGGTTAATGCCGAATCATTTCTGCGCTATCACTCCGGATATTGATGGTGATGATGAATCGTTCTTGATACTTTAGAGTCCGGAGACATCTTTTGTTGTGTTGATCCGATTTTTCGTTTCTTGATCTCTTCTGATCCGTACAGGATTCTGGTTTCCCCTTTTTCATGATCAAATCTTGTATGTTTGCTTGTGATGGTGATTATATTCGAGTGTTATTACTAAGCTTCTAGGCTGAAAATTAAAATCTCAAGCTATGGGTTCGACTGTGGCGCTTTGTGGTCTCTCTCCGTGTTGGTTGAGCGTAGGAAACCAATATATGGCATGTCTTTGGAATATCTGCAGAGATTATAACAAAGATAACATAGTCAATTGAATGATTTGATTTGCAATACAGCTCTCTCCCCAGTAATCGTTTGGATTCACACTGTTTGTGCTCGTATTTTGTATGACTTGATACTGAGAGCTGATGAATCTGGAACGCTGTTTCTTTCATTGTAAATGTTACAAATGGAAATCAACGTTTCTCATATGTCCACAGATTGTTTGCGGTGGTGGACGACATTTTCTGCCTCTTCCAAGGCCACATTGAGAACCTTGCGTTTCTGAAGCAACAATATGGATTGGGGAAAGCCACAAACGAGGCAATCATTGTGATTGAAGCCTATAGATCGCTGCGTGACCGTGGCCCTTATCCCGCCGATAAGGTGGTCAGAGATTTCCAGGGGAAGTTTGCTTTTATCCTCTTTGATGGATCCAACAAGACTGTTTTTGTAGCTGCTGTGAGTTCACAACTGTTCTTGCTCTTAAACGCATCTGCATTCCTTACAGATTTGATGAATGATCTTTGTTTTTGGTCATGTGGGCAGGACGAGGAGGGGAGCGTGCCGTTCTTCTGGGGAAGTGATGGTGAAGGACATCTTGTGCTCTCTGATGACTCCGAGATTGCGAAGAAAGGCTGCGTCAAATCTCATGCACCCTTCCCAAAAGGTAGAGACTTTGATTCTGTTATCAGCAAACAACACTTTGGAAGATCCGTCTAAAATCATCCGACCAAGACGATATAATTCTTGAATTTTTTGGGTGAACAGGTTGTTACTTCACATCTTCCGGGGGATTGACGAGCTATGAGCACCCGAGGAACGAGCTGAAGGCGGTGCCGAGGGTGGACAGCTCGGGAGAGTTGTGTGGAGCAACGTTCAAGGTGGATGCAGAGGCTAAGAAAGACAGGACTGGAATGCCTAGAGTCGGGAGTTCACAGAACTGGTCCGGACACCTCTGAACTCAACCCACGACTTCCTTTATCTGATTCTACGCTTTTACTGAAGTGAGAACTTCTCAAACCCTTTGTGGATTTTCTGCCCGGTTTCTCCATCCTTTTGATATTCATCATATTGGATTCTTGTCTGTTGTCTTTTACCATTACCATCTGGGCTAATAATAGCTGCCTAGTGGAAACGAAGATATGCTAATGAAAATCCCCAAAGAAAAAAAAAAGATCTTGGAATCCTGAAAATAATTTCGGGGACATACTTTGTAGTAGCATTTAATTATATAAAATTAGTATCTCTGATATCTTGATTTCAAGTTTAATCATACAAATTCGTTCAACGGTCTCTTCTCACCCATGAGAAAAATCATTCCTCTTTATAAGCGCGTGACTGAGAGGGTACTTGAATAAATCGAACCGTTGTATTTTCGGTGCGGTTCCTCCAACAGGCTCTCTCTCTCAGCAGGAGCGCCTTCTCTCTCTCCACCGTCGCTCCGATCTTCCTTTCATCTCTCCTCTCACCATTGTTCGTCTTTACTTAAATCCCTCTCCCGTACAAAAGATCTCCTCTTCCTCTGGTCCCTTTGCGCGTCTTCCACGATTTCGTCTTCTGGGGGATGTAAGTCTTGGTTGGTCTTGAGTTCCTATGCTGGTCTCCGATTCTTCCGTGGTTTGTCGGACTGATGAAAAGCCGGCGAAGAACGAAGAACCCTCGTGTTTGATCGAGGAAGCCTACGTTGAGGAAGGCGAGAATTGTCGTACGGGCGATGATGCCGGAAGTAGCGTCAGGAATACGGAGGATGAGTCGGTGATCGATGTTTCCGGCCAAAATTTAGAGTTTCCTCTACGTGAGAATTCGGAGGATTCGGTGAAGGGTTTGTATTTTTTTTATTTATAGAAATATGTACAATTTGATACCCAAATCGATCGGAGGAAGTTGAAGTTTTTCGGCAACGAGGTCGATCTTTTTCCATCGGAGTTGGGGAATTTGATGGATTTAGAGTATCTTAAGGTGAAGATATCGTCTCTGGAATTTGGCAGCGGATTGTCCTTGGACAATCTCTGAAGGGTCTGAAGGCGCTGGAGCTCACTCAGGTCCCAAGGCGATCTTCGGCTTTGACCATTTTCAGTGAGATTTCTGGGCTCAAGCGCTTGGCCAAGCTCCCTGTTTGTCACTTCTCGAATCTCGATTAGGTCAAGTCATGGTTTTTTGTGTCCTCTGTTTCAGATTCAGCAGTTAGACGTTCAGTATTCTTTGCTACATAACATTGAGAAAATAGCCATCGGTTTAGGAGAGGAATGTTCTGATAGAAAAGCTGTTGATTGATATGTCATGTTGTGTTTTGGCATGCCTGTAGTAGAGCTGACTGTTGTGTTATGTTCCAATTCCTGTTGTTGGGTATGTAGATTGTGGTGTCAAGTTATGCCCCAGTGGCCAGAATTGGGGATAGGTTTAGGGTTTTGATTTCTGGATTGTGTTTTAAAAGTTTTGGGCCGAGCTGTCGGAGAAGGTTTTAAATCCCTTCTACTTGTTGCAGATATCTTCCTCCGGAGATCGGCTGCCTTACGAGTCTGGAGTATCTGGATCACTCGGTTAACAAGATTAAGAAGAGTTTGCCAAATGAAATAAGTACTCTGTGTTCATCGTTTTTCTTGAAGGTTGTCCATAACAATCCGCCAGCTCTATCGTTGCTGCCTAATTTGGAAAGTCTGGATCTTTCGGACAATCGACTATTGTCTTTGGGTACGCTTGATCTATGCTTGATGTGTAGACTCCAAAATTTAAGTCTACAGGTACTTGGTTCTTTGGTGCTCCAACAGTTGAAGATATAGTTTTTCTATGTGAAATTCTGTTGTCATTTCTTGAATATTTGCTTGTACAAGTTACAGAGTTATCGCCCGACACCTGCTTGGATAAACTGCAATTCGGAAGGAAATGTTAACGATCCCGGGGGATGATGACTGCAGTAGCTGTGCGGTTGAGATGGATGTCTATGAAACCCCTTTTGATGGTAATGCCATAAGTGTTCCTCATGAAGGTGAGGCATGTTTTTTTTCAGACATGAGCTCTGTTCCTCTTTACCTTCATGTGTGTCTCTTTGAGGGAATATTTGTGGTGTCTGGAAACAGATCGAGCATGTCAAATGGGCTTGCTTCCGGTAATAGATGCTTTCTCACTCTAGACGGAGGCGGAGGGAATAACGCTTGAGCAACAGCAAAGTGGGAAGGTGAGTTTCATTCTGGAGGTTTCCAAGTTCAAAGGTGGACATGGTTGAAGAATCTAGGGAGGCATCACGATGGGGATGTATGTAACCCAAAACGTACGAAATGCCATAGACCGGCTTCTGACGGTGCTAATTCATCACTAAAGTACAGCGTTACTTCATTTTTCAGCAGCGTGGATCATCTTCCAGACTGCTTTTTTGATGCTGGACGTGCGAGCTTGATGGAACGCATGAAAGGAGGATCTGTAAAGGTACTTTCATAAAATATATCGCGTCTATACCGAAACTTATGCATGCATTGCGAATTTGTTAAAGTAAACCATCTTTTCAGAGTCACTTAGAGAAGCTCTCGGAAGCCGGCGAGAGACCAGTGCCTATGGAGGTTGCAAGGGACTTCTCGGGAGCTTTAGTGGACTTACACTCGAAGGATATTTATTCTCCGTGTCAATGACATGAAAAGTGAAAACATGTTGATAGATCTCGACGGTAAAAGAGCAGATGTTGTGAAGCTCTGTGATTTTGACAGAGCTGTTCCACTTCGGTCTCCCGCTTACACAGGTGCTTGCGTTGTTTGTGTCGGCACTCCTCATTGGATGGCCCCCGAGGTTTTCCGGGCAATGCACGAACAAAAATTATACGGACTCGTGTGGCTTTTTCCCGATTCTCGTATGTTCATCGTCTTGTCACTACTCCTCGGGTCGTGACTTCTCTTTCTCTCTCGTTTTGGCAGGAGGTCGACATCTGATCATTGGGGGCACCTGATCTTTGAATTGGTAACTCTACAAGTTCAGTATTTCGAATGTGGGAACCGCAGATTCAGGAATCTCTACAGGTGAATCTTCACTCCTTTTACCAACAAACGTGTTTCTTTCTTCCTTGCAAGTGTGATATCTGACTCCCTCGTTACCACAAGGGCAAAAGGCCAAGACTTTCCGATGAAGTTGAGAAACTTAGTTCAAGTTCTTTCGATTATGAGAAAAAAAAAAAAAACCCTAGCTTGATGGGTTCTTGGAGCTTCATATATATATATATATATATAGTTGTTGAAGTTAGGTCCAAATAGATGTTCCATCCGTGTAGTTTTAAGTTATTTTTCATGTTTCAAAATATTTGTCATTCTACATTTTCAAAACATTTTTTACAATAGTTTCCAATTTTATCCCTATTAAATTCCAATAAATTATTAATGATAACATTGTTTTTATCATTAAATAAGGTATAAGCGATTTTTTCTCTTTTTTCTTAAAAAAATGTGAAATAACCTAAAACAACAATTATTTTGAAACGGAAGGAGTACAACATAACGTTGAAATTCCTTTGTGAGCATGCAATATATATATACTCATATTTATGTATAGGTTCTTGCCGTGATCTCTTTCCGGGGTCAAATACTGACTTGAACTTTGAACTTGCCATGGATGCCTAACAAGTTCATTCTCTTACAAGTAGTTATTGTAATCGACGCAATGCATGCAATTATATAAGTAGCAGAATATTCATATTCATTGCTAAAAACCCATCAAAAGGACAAAAGTTGTTAGGCGGAGGGGGCAAAAGTTATTTCAACAAAAAAAAAAAAAAAGAAGATGATGATGAAGCAGTGAACATGTTATGTTTCCTTACAAGTGACATCCATCCCCTATTCCTATTACTAATCACTATTTGTTGGTCTACTACCTTTTAATTTTATGAAACATTGCATATATATATATATGCATATATTCCTATTCTGTACATACATATATATCCAGAGATTTTGAAATCCTATATACGTTTTTTGAATAAAATGGTGAAAAGCTCAAAGCTTGGTTTATAAAAGCAAAAAATGCCATGTCATTGTCAATTTAATACCCTTCCCTATGAGTAAGGTGGGTTTGTGGAGTTTTTTTTAAAAATGGAAAAATCCCAATCTACTATATATATATATACACAGATATGTTTTATAAGTCTTCTCCGGAAGATTCCTACATATATTATGTTTTAACATCTTTATCCTTTTCACTAGCTAGGCACCCCACTTCTCTTCATTTCCATATCTTTATTTCATGTTATATATATATATATATATATATATATATATATAACAAAAGACAAACTCTAAAAGTACTTTTATTATGAAAAACTTGTTTTGAAAATATATTTAGTATATATATATATATTTATGTGTGTGTACACCTTTATCGGTGTACGTACGACATTAAATATATGATTTGTTTTTTGTAATGTTATGTATGTCGTGAAATATAACGAAAGAACATTGCTGAGGATTTGTCGGGCGTTTAAGTAAGGCACCAAGAAGATGCGAAGACAAATTTTGCTTTTGTTATTTTTTTGGAGGAATTTAAGCATAAATAAAATCACAACGTTATCAAATGTTATGATACAAGTATTAATTATACGTATTTAATTATATAAAAACGAAAAGTACTCAGCAGAGGTTCCCGTCGTATCATCATCATTATCAACTACTCCTTTCCCGAATACTTTAGGGCCATCTTAATAATATATTTAATTAGGGGAAAACAACCCAAATTATTAAATTTATTACGTGATTTTTCGGAATGAGATAGGAAAAATGAATTTTTTTTCGTCATATAACCATTTTTTGTGGGTAGGATGAAATCCCATTAAAAATGTTCTATGACCAAGCAAAAATAATTAATATCTTTTTCAACCTTACTACATAATATCCTATAAAATTCCACCAAGTTAATTACAATTCAAAATTTTCATAATAAAATAATATTAAAAAGTATAGAAAGTGTAACTTTATATTTATGTTTCTTATTTATTTTGAATTTATCTAATATTTGCATATTAAGAACTTTACTTAAAAAAATCTTTGTGCTTAAACTAATTTGATTAAATAGATACTTATGGTTGGGGCGTTAATCATAACACCTAAAAAGCTATGGCTACACGCATCAGAACATAATATTAAAGGTTTCTTTCTCAAGGGTGATGAGAAAATGATATTTAACAAAAGAAGCTGACAGAATTATAAGATAATGTTTAAACTTTCAGCAAAAGTTACAAGATAATATTACTTATCAATTAATTTTTTTTAAATACTATGTATTTAAATGCCATTTATTGGATCACTTGTCTCATATCGACGCTGGCAATATTTTAGGTTTTGGCATCAAACAGATGCTCCCGATCTCATAGAGAAGTGTTCCAAATAAAAGTATTTAATTACCCATATATTACTAGATAATGAAAGTTATATTGTCTGCATTAGAATTCAAACGAAAGAAATGTTTGATCATATATCGTTTTACGAGATTTCTGAGAACTTATGTGTATATATATATCTCATTTATTGACACGATAAAACTTCCAATTTTCCAAGAATTCGTGCAATGGTACACACACACACACACACATATATATAATTTATACCCTAATGTGGAAATAAAGCTTCAGAAGGCAACAATATAAGACAGAAAAGAAAATTATTCAGGACACAATTTTCTTGAAAATTTTGTTGTAAGATGTTTTACTCAATGCTTTACATTGAGTGAGCAATATGCATTACATATATGTATATGTGCATATATGTAAATGAGATGAGTTTGGGGTGTGTATATATGTAGACATATATATATATATGTATGTATCGTATAAACATGCAAGAATTTTCAACAAAAAAAAAACATGCAAGAATATGGTCCCCCATTTGGCTTTAATTCTTAACTTCAGTCTCTCCTTTTGCCTCTCATGCATGCGCGAAGGTTCCCTTTCACTCCTTGAGAGACACAAAAATTCATTTGAAAAAAACATTTCAACCAACCAATAGGTTTTAAAGACATCAATTATCGATTGACACCTTGTCGGAAATTCATGATTATTGCGGTTTTAAGTTATTTCTCCTGACTTTATATACAATTATTTAGTCATCCCATCCATATATATGTATGTATGCTCTATATCTCGCATATTTAATGTAATAATTTTGTGCAATCCCCAAAATTACCATTATGTATGTACATGTTTGTCTTTTTTTTGTTATAAACTTGACATATGGAGAGTGGAAAATGGAAATATATATGGGTTTTTTTTTTTATAAATTAGTTCTTTTTAGTTGGCATCAAATTAAGGAGGGTTCGTTTCCTTTTTAATTACTCCTTTTTCTTTCCTAGCTTTTTATTAAAAAAGTAAAACATTTTCCCTTGATTTATTTATTAGTTCATCAATAAGTAGACTTTCAGTGACCTAGATACCTATGGCCACTTTATTTCTTTAAATCTATATATATATATATATATATATATATATATATGTTTTTTTAGCTTTTCGCATCTTCATCTCTCTCATATATTCCTCTCTTTAAAAGTCTATTTAAACCTTCTTCATCTTCTTGTCATCTCATTTCATCTTTCTCTCTCTATATCACATATATGGTAGCGTATATAAGTTATGATTGTGTGTTGAGATGCACGTAAGCTTGCGGTGCACCACCATCTGATGAAGCTGCCAGCATGATCTCAACTTCTCTCTCTGTCTCAAAGTATGAGGGAAGATCAGATCATCTGGCAGTTTCACCCGTTGATGGTAGCACCCTTAAAAACCCTAAATCCGAAACCCTAGCTCCTTGTTTGTTCCTCATCCCTAAAAATCCCCCACCTACAATTTCTATCGATTTCAAAAAGCTTCACATGCCATCTTCTAAATCAGCAGATTCATATATTCCATTAATAATTCGTAGATCCAGGTATTACCTTGTAAGTAAAGTGTGTCTATATATATGTCTGTGTGATCCGTGGGTGTGTAAAGTGAGTATTAGTTTCAGATTTACTCATTATGATCATTAGGGTTTTCACTTTTTAAATTCATTTCCATCCATTCGCATTCACTGGAACTTCTAAATTCGTGCCATAGATCATTTAAATGTCTGCAATAAAATCCGACAAAAATGACTCTTAAGTCTCAAAATCAGGATCTGTCAAAGTTCAAAAGACTGGTTTGTTTTTTCTTTCTTGTGTAATGATTTCTCGCTATTAACCATATATAATAAACGGGTTGCATTTAGCTACTTGTAAAATTAGGGTTTTTTAGGTATAGTTCTAAGAACATTCAAGTGGTTTTGCCCGAATTAACATATCACCAAACATATAGTCAAACCATTTGTAATTTTGGATACACTCTAGGGTTGATATATAGAAGATGTCATTAGGGTTTTGTTGGTGGCGCTTCTTTGTTTCCCCTTTCCTCGCTTCTTTATAAATCCCAATATCAAAGGGTAAGCAATATCCTTAGGTATATGTTTTTTTTTTTTTTTTTGCATATGTCGATATTCGTTTACCTAATAAATTCTAGGGTTTCGAGGTGTGTTTATATATATACACATGTGTGTGTGTGTGTGTGTATGCGTGTGAAGATGCATGTGGGTATGTTTGTTGTTGGATGTTGAGAGTAGAGGATGTGCATGTATAGATGCGTGTTTAATTAATTAGGGTTTTCTCTACCGACAAAGATGTATCTGTTTCTTTGTGTGTGTGTCTCGATGCAACTTCATTAGTTTCAAGAAACTAATTGCCGATCCAAATCCCAGCCCAATCAATATATATGCTCTTTTTTACTGTATATATATATATATATTCTTCATTTGTGTATATGCAACAGCTATTAATATGGGGATCTGTTCCATCAAACAAACGTATTCTCCCGGTATATATATATATATACTAACTATTTATATGATTTTAAATTTGGTTTAAAGTACCAAAATTCCCAAAAAAAACTTCAAATTAATCCTTTTTACTTATAAAAAAAGTCGAAACATTGAGCTAGTTTTATTTTAAAATAAATTCAGATTGAGTAAGATTGTTGTATTTTGAGAACTTCAGTACTGATTTAAAAATCTGGGGAAAAAAGCAATTGTGTTGATCAATTATCAAACACATAAATTAATGTTATTATGTAAAGATTAATCATAAAAACCCGAATTTTTTTTTATAAGCTGCATCTATCTTAAATTGTCTAATATCTCCACGCGCCTCGGGATCCAGAGATGCTAAATAAATATAACCCAGGGAATTCTGACGCGTGGAAACGACGCGCCAAAGTTGTGCGTAGCAATGTTTTTTTCACAGAGGTCAACCTCTTCGATTGGGCCTTTTCCTATATGGGCTTTATTCTAATTCTGTTGAGTATGAGGCCCAAATAGGTTTACAAATTTGCCTTTTAGGCCTCTATTTTCTCTTCTTATCAGATTAGCCCGCTACTTTTTTATTCGCTGAATCAAACTTAATTGTGCGCACATATGAAATTGTTGGGCTTTGTTAACAAAAGAGAAGACATGAAGAAGAATATGCCGAAGTAAAAAAGCAAAGGATTCCTAAGAGAAGTCATCTTTACAAAAGGGCCACCTTACAAGTTCCTCTATCAATGGCGTCGTCTCTCTCTCTCTCTCCCTCCTTAATGACGACTGAGCTTAACCACCAACTCTAAAAACCCTTCAAACCAACTTGGGATTTACAGAGAAACAACACAACTAAACCCTACACCCAGTCCTAAAGACCAACACCGCTTCTTCTGCTTCTGCTACGTCAAGATTCTTGATTAGGTTTCTCCTTTTAGCAGTAGAACATCACTCTCTTCACGTTCTCCTTCAATGCCGGTAATGGCCGAACGCCACCTCCCGACTCGCCCCCGATCGTAGCTTTCACGTTCTTCATTCCGGCCGACGACCCGTTTTCCCTCATCTCCGGCTCCATGTAGAACCGCGCCCTGAACGCCGCCAGATGCGCGTAATATGCTGGAGGAACTGCACACGTAATCCACGTCTTGTTTATATCAAGCAGTAAGTGGGAGAAGCCAAACTCGAAAACATTTTCTTGAGCGAGGGGTTAGGGAAACATTACCGACGGAGACGGAACGAGTGCACCTTGCGTAGGTATAGCAAAGATTATTCGTAAGAGACTGAATGGAATCGGCTGTGAAGTTGTTCTCGTCCCAAAGGACGTGGTAATGAGCCGGCCGGCTTGTTCCCTATATCGTAATTTACAATCACAGAGTTAGATAGAGAGCATCACCAATATCACACATGCAGTCATGCATGTGCATGCATGCATCTGAGTCGACGTACCTGAATTCCGGCATGGCTGCAGAGGTAAAAGTCGAATTCCGTTGGATGGCATATCTTGGTATCGACCACCGTTCCTGACAAGCCGAGTAAAAACAGAGAGAGTTAACGTAAATTTTCTTCTTCCTGAGGTTTAGGATCTCATCGTATTCAATGGGGAAATGCGGAGTTTTCTTACCGGGTAAGATGTTTCCGCTCCTGTCTGTGCTGCTTTTGTCTCTGTGATTATTAGCAAACAGTCGGGTGTGATGCCGTTTTTGTACAACGATGAACGTCACGGGTGGCTGGTAATTCGGTTCGAGAGAAGCACAAGCCTGAAATGAAGATGATTCAGAAACTCGGTACAAGAATATATTCAACATATCCGACAATCTTTAACCGAGAGATGTAGATTGTTGTACAGTATCCCTACCTTCCGAATTGCATCCAACTCGTATAGTAAAACTTGATAGAATTGCCCTTCGCTTACTCCGTCCCTGTTTCGATCAAATCTCAGTTACTATCATCACAAGGACAGAGAAGGTTCATCTATGCATGAAATCTTTAAACTTCAAACAGACCTGTAAAATATAATCCTAAGTGGTTTCTGCCCGGTTGCCTTCCTGAACGAAATCAGAAGATCCCTGAAAAGCAGCGAAAATCACGAGGGCACACGGGCTAAATTCCACTTCCAACTCAAAAAGTCATCAAAGATTATCAGTAGATGACGGGAAATTTAACGTGTTTCGTCTTTTTCTTTTTGTTACCTAATCATACCGCCACTAACGGTGCCACGGACAGGATCTTGCCATGTTTTGTACAAGTCTTGTATAAGTTCCTGTCTATGAGCCTGAGCACACACCAAACCAGCATATTTTGTGACTTCAGGCCAATCCTGAGAAGCGACAACCTATACACAACACCACAAAACCAGATTTGGTAAAAAAATCCATGTTTTGGTAACCGAGGTATGAACAACTCGAAAGGGTATAACAGTCTTTACTGCGGCTATAGACGGGCTGGAGTCTTCCCCGTTCTCGGGGTGAGTCACATCAGCCCCAAATATAATCGTGGGTATGTCGCTAACCAGAGGAATCCTACAGCTTATGGCGTCCAAAAGCACGGTGTTTCTGCCACCCATCTGCAATAACAAACAGAGAGGAGACATGAGACAAGAACACAACTCTTGAGAAAAATACGAACCAACATCTAACCCGAGCCAGAGCATTTACCTTAACGTTGATTTTAAGCGACACGTTAGCCAGATATTGTTTGCTAATCTTAAATACATGCTTTGTTAGACAGCACTGAGATATTAACCCGAGCTCAGTTTCGCATATTCTCTTAAGGTCCCCTGAAAAAAAAAAGAATATACACCAGTTTCAGACAAGATCATTTGATCTAGGTTTAACAAAATAAAGAAAGAAAGGGGGAAAATATGGAAGTATAGATAAATACCGTAAAGTGAACCGTTATTATCGGGTAAAATTGCCAAGAGAAGCTCGAGCTCTTTTCCCTTGGTTTTGTTCATTGCGGTGTGATAAACATGTTTCAGAGCTTTCTCCACTTGGTCAGGCCTGGCGCTGTATATCGGGATCACGGGTTCTGGATTGAATTCCTAAGATAACAGATAACACGATATGATTACACATTTCCAGCTTAAGAGTATCCAGATTCTTCAAAACGGAAAAGAGAAGGACAAATATAAATATACCATGCCCGAGATTTGGCACATTTGAACAAGTTCATTGCAGAATCCACGAGCGACACTTTCTTGCACACTGCGTGAGAAGTTTATACACACCCATCTGCTCACAGTCATCCCGTTGATCATTTTCTGCATCGTAATTTACAGCTAAGTACGTAAATTTACGTCCAGAGTTAACAGCACCAGAAGAGAAACAAGACAGTATAAGATTAAGTTACCTTGTTCATCATGTTCCACTGACCGACTTGTGGCAGGCAATCCTTTTCCTTCCCAGTCTCATGATATTTTAGCTGTATCGGAAAAAAAAATCACAAGAATGGTTGAATTCAAAATGGGTTTATCTGTTTCAGACACAACCATAAAACCAAAGTGGCAATATGTCCCTATTACCCATGGAGCTGGAAGAATCCTAGCTTCAACTGAAGCTAACTTTTCGGTTATCTTGACACCAAACTCCTTTGCATACGGATCTTGATCATATGCATTGTGCCGGACAGTCTACATCAAGTTCACAATCCCACAGAAGCGTTAAAGGAAACTGAGTTTTTAACATTTTCCTCTGGTAAATTCGTTTTAGTTACCTTTAAGATATCCATTTCTCTATCTCGAGGCCTCTGGCATGTAACTTTCAAGAGAGCTGTAATCTGTTTCTCGTTCAACCTTTTCGTGTACCTTTGTCCTTCAACGATTTTGCATGCCTTTTTGTACATAGACATTCAACACTGATCAGGGAAATAACAATACAGAGAACGGGCAAAGACAGATCGATCACCAAGGCACTGATGTCCTACCTCCATCGGTAAATAGTTGGCCTTCTTTTGATTTCCTACTTGAAGACACGGCAAGTGAGTGTGCTGTATCGTGAAGCCGTACATCTCTTGGAAGTACTCAACGACTGACTTCATCGTGCAGTTCTCATCAACCGGAAACCTGGAAACAAAATCAAGTTATCGATATTACTACTGAATGATTGTTATTTTTATTATTGCCCTTATTGATCAGTCTCAAGTTAGAAGAATGGAGTAAAAAAGCTCACATCAGTTCTCTTGTCGGCTGAGTAGTCAACCCCGAGACACGATACTTCCTTCTTACGTTTGCTCTGTGAGTAACCTCGACTTTCACTCCCCTCATTGCCTTCTTAATCTGTTCAAGTTCCCCCGGAAAAAAGGCATAAGAGAGAGTACTGACAAAACATGGCTTAAAGAAAAATGAATGAAAATGTTGAAGAAGAGTACCTTAACACGGTCAGAATCAGACAATGGCCTCGATAAGGCGTCCTTTCCCAAAAGCTGGGCCACAAACTCGATCACTGGAAGAGGCTCGATGAAAGCAGCCGAAGCCATATCTGTAAGAAACATGTAAAGAATACATAATCAAATCAGGCTGATAATTTCAGGGCATCAGAAATAAACTCAAACGTTGCTATTAAGCCAAGTACCGATATTTAACGATAATCCCATCTGGGTAGGCCTGATGCTCTGGTAGAATCCACACCAAGACTCTAACCCGTCACCAAGCCGCTGCGGGGTTCTAATATCGGGAGAAAAGAAGGATCTTCCAATCGGGCAAAACCTTCACAATCCATAACAACGTGAGCCATCTTTTACCACCTTTCAGGGCAAATCTAAAAGAGAGATTCATTTTTTTGGTCTGTCGAGAAATCTCAAGTCTACCTCTTCATGGACAGCTCTCTGAGTACAATATCCAAGATCTGCAAAGCCTCTTGCGGGCCATCTGCACGTTTTCCGGCAAGAAACTCTGCCAAATGGTGCATGTTTGCTCGAGCAACAAACTTGATAGTAACCTTATACTCCCTTTCCCTTCTACAAATCATAATAGTGATGATGATAATGGACACCAACACTAGATTCTACACGACCAAAGCAAGTTTAGAGCAAAATTTGGTAAGAGAGGTCTTACTTAGGGCCGTTACTGATACCGTCGTCTTCATCAGCGATCTTAACGGTGAACTCTTTCCAAGCAAAGGGGAGCTCGCCAGCAGTGTAAAGGCTCTTACGGCCATCATAAGCAGGGAGTCTCATCCCGAGGTCTGACTCTTTATACAATCTAACTAACTCCGCCATTATAGCTCTGTTTACAGTTCTTGATGACACTTCAGGAGTTATTGTGACCTGCAAAGACGCCGGACTCAGACACGTACAAGGGTTTGGGGCAGTCAAACAAGAAGAACAATATTAAAAACTAAGGCCACACTCATAAATGTTCACCAGACGAAAAGCAAAAGGACAGGAGAGGAAAAAAGTGAAAACCTTTCGTCTCCCATTAATTTCGAATCAGAGAATTATTACACAAGCGTAAATAAACGACGCACAACCGCCCAGATCTCTTACTACTCCTTCAGGAAATCGTCCAAAGTTTGAATCTTGTTTCACGACAGAATCTAAAAAGGGCAATCCTTTTTTTTTTTGTTCTTCCCTGTGCAAGCTCGGAAAAGAAAGCAACGAACAAAGAACAGTAACTTACATCATACTGGTTCAAATCCTTGTCTGGTAACTCGGTGAAGAAATGGTTGGCCTTGACAATGCATTTCGTCCCAAGTTGTCCGTACCCAGGCCTCGGCGCAAACCTCGAGCTTTTGCTCGAACTGGGGAAACCGACCTCCATCATTGGGCCGCCATTGTTGCCGCAGTGACCAACCGAACCATTCTGATGAACAGACATGATCTCGCCGGCTGTTTGGTAAGGAGGCTTACGAGGCCGAGAACACGGCCTCATACACACGTCCCCTTGGTCGGATTTCCGACCGCCTCTGTTCCTTCTCCGGCCACGGTTCCTCGTCGGCGGAGAAGAAGAGGCTTGGCTATGGGATTTAGGGTTTTGGGCATTCTCCTCCGCCGGAGACGACGGCGTCTGCGGTGTTCCTTTACCGTTTTGCACGATCTTAGGATTATGCTGCTTCAAGGGTTGGGAAAGGGAGTTGTGCAGATGCGTTCTGACCACTATGTGCTGGTCGGAGCCGTCTTTCATTTGTCTCACCGGCATTTTTTTTCCCGGCTGCGTTTTACGACAAGACAAGTTTGGAGAGGGACAAGAAGAACGAAGTACTGAGCTCTTTTGGCCTTATTCTACCTGAAAAATAAAATATATACGAGAAAATTTTAGAAAAATTCGAAACCCATGTCAGATTGCATTAAATGTAGAAAATCCAGAAACCCAGAATATGTTGAAGGTGAAAAACAAAATCAAACGGGTGAAAGATGAAGGTAAAAAAAACTCAAGCAAGCCTTGGTTACATGCCCTCTTATTTCTCCGTAGCAGGCAAAATTTCAGAAGTAGAGGGAAAACATGAGCAATACATATACATGTATACGCGTATGTATATACTCTCAATCGGCTCTTTTCGAGGTGAGAGACAACAACCCAGGAATTTCGAAGAGAGAGCTACAGAATCCAAGAAAATGACCACCAATCGAACCCAGAAGTTCATTGGGTTGTTCCATTAGGAACCACAGACAAAAACAGAAGCTAAAATGGGGGAAATGGGGAATACCCAGGATACAAAACCAGAACCTTAGGCTTTGTCCCTATTGGAAACCGAGAAAACAAAATCACGGAAAAATGAATCTTTTTCAAGTCGATTTGGGGGAAATATGAATGAACCCAAACAGATAACTACAAGATTTCGAGTGAAAAATCGTGGCTTTCTTTTTCGGGGGCGGGAGAGAGAATAGCAACAAACAAGAACCCAAGAGCAAATGAACAAAGGGAAGGAATAAACATCGAAAAGAGCAGTGGAGACATCAATATCGCAAGAGAATAATATTTATTTTAAAAAAAATTATAAAAAAAACTAATGAATTTATTGCTGCAGATAGAAAAAGACCCTTTCAAATTAAAAACCGGAAGAAGAAAAACACAGAAACACTCACCCACCAAACAACCTAAACTGTTCGATTCAAAGTTTCCTTCAACCAAATCGAAGCTTGAAAAGACGGGTCTCGCGGAAATGGACAATAGCGAAAGGATTTCTTCTCCACTGGAAAAAAAGAGAAAGATCTCAGATTTCGTGACACCAAGGTGAGAAGAAGAAGAAGAAGGAGAAGAAAGGGGAATGAGAGATAGTCTATTAATGATGATGATGATGAAGAAGGAGAAGAAGAGGAAGGGGAAGATGATGGTAATGATGATGATGATGGAGGAAAAAAAAAACCCTCTTTTTATTTTCCTTTATAGACGACGCATGCAAAGTGCTTTGCTTTTGGGGTTTTGCTCTCTTTTATCACGTGTAAAGCCTCTCTCTCTCTCTCTCTCTCTCTCTGGCCGCAGCCTTAGCATTATTATTTTTCTCTCCTCATAATTCTCATATTTAAGATAAATTTTCTTACTTTCCAAGACCATATATATATATCCCTTTTACCTTATATTTATCTTATCTTAAGTAAATTTTATTTCTTTTATGGAAATATGACGTGTATTATTACTCTCCGAATGCTGAACATGGCTTCGTACTTGTCATAATATCAAGAAACCTATATCTCTGTCATGATTAGGTATCATTAGCTTGTTTGTTCATAAGATTTGCCAACAATAATCTCCATGTGTATATATATGTGTGTGTGTGATATCTATGCGTGTGATATCAATGGATAATAGGTGATGTTATCACATGTCAGAATCGGCTGTATTGTTGTCCAAAATATATCATGAATGCAGAGACACCGGGTAATGTCGAATGATTAAACGCCATAGTACATAGATAACGCATATGCATACATATATGTGTGTGTGTGTTCTATATATGTCAGCTTGTGTAGCTGATGACCACTGTGTTTGTGGTCCGCAACCACAAATGCAGAGCATACATTCATATAATATATATGTATATACGTAGGGAGAGAGAGAGAGGGAGAGGGAGAGGGAGAGGGAGAGGGAGAGAGAGAGAGAGAGAGAGAGAGAGAGAGAGAGAGAGAGAGAGAGAGAGAGGGGGGGTTTTCATTTTAAATAATAAAAGCAAATGATAACACAGAAGAAGAATAATTCGAACTTGCAGTGCCCTCTTTTGTGCAGACCCTATTTAAGTTCTCTCGCCCCTCCCTATGTAACCCTCTTGTATTATTGTAACAATATAATATAAATAAACTTGACAAAAACAAAATCAGTACAGTAAAATTTTAAAATGGAAAATTATAATATCAACACATGAACTTGTCAATTTTTTCAAAATAAAACCTCGATTTTAATTTTTTTCTTTTAAAATTTAAACTTTGAAATTTATGTTTAAATAAACCGAAACTTTATATACTATGTCAAATTTAACCTTAAATACTAAGTGACCAAAATTATCACATCAATATTTATGATTAAATTCGATATGGTTTATAAAGTTCAGGTTTATTTAAATATTAATTTTAAATTTTGGGTTTAAAAAAGTAAAAATTAAAGTTGAGATTTTATCTTGAGAAATTTGACAAGTTCAGGTATTAATATACTAATTTCTCTTTTAATGTTTATGATCCTAATTATCAATTATGATTACAAAATAATTTTAGTAAATCTTAACGAGTGATTTATTTAAAATATTTGTTCGACCATGAACAAACAAAAAAAAAATCTCGTTATAAATTTAATCACAGATTTAAGTCAGAAAAAAAATAAGATAGAACAACGATTATTAAAAAAGACAAAACTATAACTATGATAATGGTCGGACAAATGATTATTATAAACAGATTTTCAATTGACGAGTGACGATACAAGTCTCGTTAATCTTTACGCATAAATGAATCTAAATAAACCGTTTCTTGTAACGAAATATATAATGAATGCTCCCGGCTCCCGAATTTATCTGAATCTCGATCGAAGATATCCGGTTATTCAAAAATATATATATAATAAAAATAATATATATTTTGATATAAATCGAATTTTAAGATCCACCTGAATAAATTGTCTCATTACCATAGTTAGTACAAAACTATACTAATAATTTTTTATCATGTCTTCGTGGGACGTAATACGTAACCGTGAGTTTAATGGGAATGTAACGTTTCCTTCATTTTTTGTTTTATTTGAATAGGATCGAAAAACAAAGAAACTTTGGACCGTTGGATCAATGGCCGTCGTCCCATCGCACGACGTTCGTTTTCTCCAACATCTCGTCTATTTATATTATGGATTCATTATTAGAGATCATTGATATATGAAGTACAAATTAATACATTGTATTTATTTATTTATATAAAAGAAATAAAAGTTTATGTGGTGTCTTAAAAAAGCTGCTTTGGTACTTGGTAGCCACTAGATTCGTGAATAAACGTTACAACTAATCACTTCAAATCTTAATCGAACGTTACAAACCAAAGAATAGCGGCAATGATATATATATATATATATACACACACACACGCATTGACATTTCAATTTAAAAAACAAATTGATAAAAAAAAATATTTAAAAATGGATGCTGGCGTGGGGGTGCGATCAAGTGGAACAAGGTCCACGTTCAAAGTATGCACCTCTTGTGGTTGCGGGGGTTGCGGCCCCCCCTACGTCATTGGGCCCCACAACGCTGCCACGTGAGATCATGGTGATCATCATGAATCTTGATGGAGGCTACTTTGTTATGTTTTGTCTGAAAGATACTCGAATCATATGATGGATCCTTGGACTCGATCCACGTCTGAATGTACTGTTTTTTTTTATTATAACAAACAAACATTTATCCACACGTATATTTATAGTATCAACCGTTCGGTATTTATATGCATTAATATACAAACAAAAAATATGTAAGAAATTAGGCTATATGCATCGTGAAATTGCATATAACCAAAAAAAAATTGCAACTATGACATCAAATACGTATAAATTGATCACAATCACGTACAAAAATATTTAATAAATGCCATTGGAATACCCAATTGAATACATCCACGTACGATATAAGACGGATGCAATGTTGCACGACAAATAATAACACAATGCATGGTAAATTAAAATTTCAGTTGTCTATCAGAAAATGTGCGTTTGAATACTATTGAGGGGAATAATGGGTTCCACCAAAGATGCAATAATTCCCGAATGTGCTAATCGAGAGTTGTCGTAATCCAACACTATAGGTCCTTGTTATAAAAAAAAACACTATAGGTCCTTTTTGTATGTTTATGACTCCATAATAAATGTGGTGTAAAATGCATCATTCGCTCGTGTTGATATTTGATTGATACATTCTCGATCGATGCAATATATGTGTGATATATATATATATATATATATATATATATATATTCATGGAATTATGTTTTGAGATCATACTCTGAAAAAGAATAGTAAAGTTTTGATTAGTCGAGGTTAAAAATAACAAAAAATCCAGGTCAAGAACTATATGATTGGTCTATGAGACAAAATCTGTATGTGATGGAAATTATACCCTTTTGTTGGAGGGTAGCGTTGGTACTCATGCACACAACAGTCCAATGCCCTATAAATGCACCAAATCATCACACCACTACACATATACATATACATATGCATATGCACAGATGCATGCATGTGGTTGTGTGTGTATATACATACAATAGAGGAGAGGGATGCTGGTGGGGTTATGGGCTTGGTTTGTTTTGGAGTGGCATACGAGTGGGGTTGGGATTTGTTTCTTGTTTTACAATATATATATATATGATATAAAATGGGGTTTGTTTGGAAATATTTAACCTTATGATATATGGGGATTTGCGGACTCTATAAATATAAATATTTTTTTTATAGAACTAAGATAATCGGATTAAATCATGTCCCCATTAAATGCCATTGAACTTTCCTACGTACCTTATATAGATTAGCATGACATATATATATATATAATCAAGCATTAGGCCATAAAACAGAATAATAATTAGGGTTTTGGTTTGGGTCCTTTTGCCATGCGTGCCTATGTAGTCTACATAGCGGGGGGACAACTGAGATAGCTGACTAGAGAAATGGGTTATAATCAATTGATTAATTTCCCGTGACATTAAGTGTTGTTATAATTAAGGGACTTTATTAATTTTAGTATAATAAAGATAGTGGAATTTAGTCCCGAGCGAGAGGAAGTGTGCGTGTGGTGGGGCCCATGTATTCTCGCACTACACAACCCTCACGCTTTCCTATACTCTTAATGAAAAGATTCGCGGGATCATTCCTTTAAACTTAGGTTCGATTTTCGGAATACGTGTTAATTATTTTTTTTATTAATGTTAAATTCCATATTCAGATTAGATAAATTATCTTAAATAGTTGAATGTGTCTATGATAATCAATATACTTTTCTTATTTTTTATTACTTAAGCTTAGTATCAAATAATACTCAATTACATAACTAAGATATATACAAAATATGTAAATATTATCCCATATATATATATAATTATTTATAGGAAATATCGGTCAAATCAGGTCAAACCAGGAAAGCACTTCTGCGGGCATGTTTAGTGGTGCGACTGACCAGTTAAATAATCAAAACTATATATTTAACAAATATTTATTACATATATTGCATAATCAGAGTTAATATATACCGATAGATACCAGTTGTAATCTGGATATATACACACATGCACACAAATAAGAGTTTCTCGACACATGCCCTCATTCATGATTTGGGATATCTTGCTAAAGATTTGATTAGCATTTTTAATTGATCTGTTAATTAAATTTGCTGGAGGGGAGGCCTGCTAATGCATGCGCATGACTTCTTTAATGATGGAGTTTTGATTATATTTAGTCTCATAATCTCTGTCATGATCTTAACTAAACTCCTACATGCATTTATAATAATTTTGTTAGTTTAACTATGGAGACTTTTATTGTAAATATGTCGCAAATTTAGCTAATCTATTTGCATATATAGGATCAGCTGTGTGGATTTATTGGATTAATCCCCTCAGATGTTTGAATATTATTTATAAAATTAAACTAATTTGTTAGTATAACAAATTTATATTTTTATAATAAGATCTATTTATATATACATAAATCAGTCATACCTGCCATCATGGGATATATGTTTATTTTTTTAAAAAAAAACGAAAGATTAAAACGACAAACGAAACATTTAATCTATGATTAAAAGCACACTTGGAAGACTTTAGGGCAAGTTTATCTTTATGATGGGTGCCCTAATTTCTTATTCCTTCTTGGAAAGTTCACATTCGACAAGCACGATAAATCTTGCGCCTTTGAATATATATATGATTATATTAATTAAACCATATTATTCTTAATGGACACAGACGTTTTATCTCAAATTACTTTCTTGCAATAAAGGGTACGTTAAAATAAATTAAAGGAAAAATAAAAACAATCTTCTTTATTACACATTCTGCAGTTTAATGTGTACACACACACACACACATATATATATATATATATATATATATATATATATATATATATATATTTTTTAGAGGGA